TACCCAAAGCTTAGCTTAAATGTTTATGTGTAAACATTTGACAGCCTTGGGAAGAGTAGTTTTGCCGTTGAAGGTATATTTTGGAGGTCTGTTTTTCGGCATGTAAACCTACATTTATTAAAACGAGTTCGCGAAGCATGATCAGGCCATGGGAATGGTTGCTTTATAGGGTTTTTTGTTAAGAACGGGTTTTTCATATTTTTGACCCTCAAAGCATACAATTTTACAATTGTATCATTAAAGAATTTTGTAGAGCTTAAAAACAAATAATTTATTACATTAAAATGTTTTTTACAGTTATTGGTTACGGAGAAAGTTAAAAAATGTAAATTAAAAACCTGAAGTTATTCCAATAGCGAAGATTTTTAATTTTTGTTTTTTTCTTATTTATAGACACATTTTTATAAAATTGGGTAAATTTATTTATTTATTGTCATACTATTATTATTTTATATAATATATTAACCTCCCTGTAGCAAAATCCAACAAACCTGTAGCAAACCTAGGTACCAGTTAAACCTAATGTTATTTAAGGTTTGTGAAAATCAAATCAAGCAAATGGAAATTCTCTTAGTCTGCAGGTTTGCTGAGGTGGGGGTATTTTTATTCATACTTTCATTTATTTTCTATTAATAGCAAATAAACTGGTATACTCTCTAAATCAATACGGTGTTTGCTTCAAACAACTATATTGTGGAAATATTGAAAAAAAACCACAATTTTTATACGTCTTTGGAAAATTTATTTATTTTGATGGTCTGTATTTTGACCATTATTTACGCTACATACATGCTGTTGGGCTTAAACTGTCACAAATTTATTCTTCTTTAATGTAATAATCTAAAATTTTCGGTAAAATCAACGGTTCGCGAGATTGAGTGAAAAACAATAGGAATTGCCATATTTTTGATATTTCGATAACAAGTGGCGCGCCCCGCGGCGAGCGGCAGTATCTCGAGGTGGATAACTTGGATTTTATGTTATGGGCCCAATACTAACAACATATCCAAAAATCAGAACTACCCGACCTTTTGCACAGCAACCCCATTTTTTCTGACAGATTTACTGGACTAATATTGTAAAATTTGACAACGTGAAAATTCAATCAAGACAAATTAAGACTAAAAGTATCCAGGACTAGTTTCTTTGGTTTTAGTTTTATTGAATGATTATAGACTATAGGCCTATACTAAAGTAATACTAAATGATTTTAAATAAGTCTGATACCATACATATGTGAAACATACAAAAGGACAGATGCAGAAGATTTATATCTAAAGCAAAAAGCACAGTAGAATAAGAAAAATAAAACACTTAAACTTAAATCACGTTTTTGTCAAACTGCAGCGTAAACAGCTCTTTTCAACACATGCTACTTTCAAGGAAAATGTTGATATTTTTAACCCTTATTATACAACCAACTTAAATTACCTAATAAATAAATATATTAAATAACAAAGCAAGTAAAACAAGTATAACAAACAAATCAATAACTCAACCACCACCATTATGTTGCTAAATACATCATCAAAACAATATTATTTACATTGGCACTTGATAACAATGAAACATTTGTAACCAATCATAATTTCACTACAATGATAAAAAGAAACCTAAGATCTCTTTCATAGAAATGTTTTCTGTGTGTGTATGACAACTCACTACAAAGGTTTGGTATCAATGCACTGATTGACACACATAATTCAGTTGAAAATATTGAAGGTTTCAAATTAAATCAACGAGTCATTAAGTGTTAGGCTTAACAATGATCCTGGCAAAAGCCAGCTGATCTCATCAGTAACAAAGCTACAAACACAATCAAATTATTTTAAATCTCACTTGAAAATAATTTTGAGAATTTATATAGATTAGTTCACCACATTTAAGCATTAGTCAGTGTTTCAATTGTAACATTATTTAGTTTTGAATGCAAAACAGATGTTCCACACAAACCAAAGAAGGAAACTCAACTTATGATTGAAACATAATGGAAATAGTTATTTGTGCAACTAGTGAGCAAAGTGAGCAATTGACTCACTCGAGAGAAATCCTTACTCACGAGCCGTAGGCGAGTGAGGAATGGTTTCTCGAGTGAGGCAATTGCACTTTGCACTCGAGTTGCACATTATATTTTTCCTACAGTTACCATAAAACAAATAAATTGGTAAAGAAACGTAACATATTTTTACACAGAAGTGAACTTTTAATATGATATTTAATGTGATGACAAATACAACAGTACAACAGCTGACCAGCTGATTTACAGCCAGTGCTGCCAACGTATTTCGTGCGCATACGACCTTGTCTGCATGTTACGCACTCACTATTTCGTGCCTTCACGTTGCAAATCTGGAGTGAGACAAAGTAATTAGAGTGAGGCAGTGTTAACATTGTCTCTCTGATGAGCGAATTGGCCACTTTGCTTTCTCAAATCAGTGAGAGAACATGTACATTGTTAGGTAACTGTAGGAAAACATTATTTTCCTACAGTTACCTGACAATGCGAGTTTTCTTGCACTGATTATAACATGCAAAGTAGTTGATTCCCGCATTTACTAACTTTTCTGCACTCATTTCACTATCTCACACTCATTTTACTTTATACACTTCGGTATGTCAACCAAACAACCCAAAATAGTGTGCATGTATTAGGCACTTAATATTGTAAGCTTGAAAACAAGTTGGCATCACTACTAAATCGATCAGCTGGTGCAGTGTTATTTGTCATTCAACACTCTGAACTTAACCTATAACCAGTTGTTAAGTGTTGTCATAAACATTACAAACCAAAAATGTCATTCAGATTTTGATTCAAAATGTTTGTAACATTTCATCTAGATTGTTATTTGTGAAACAATTTTATTTAGGTTTTGATTAGTTTATGAGACGATTCCATTTAGCTTTGGATTTGTTAATTAATTAATGAAACTGCATAATAAATAAAAGTTCACCTTTATATACAATGTATATACAACTTATATACATTAAATATTACCCATTGTTTATATGTTTTATAATAACTGTAGAAAACATATAATGTGTAACATGAGCGCACATAATGGATAAATTGTAAGGGTCAAATTCTCATAGGGGTACGTTTTTGTTATTTTAGGGCCGTGAACGGCTCGAGCGCTTTCGGCAACAATGACCGGCCTAACAGTGGACGCATCACAGCCTTAGTTCACAGCCACCCTGAGGAGCGCTAGCGTAGCGATGGCAAGAGAAGGCAGAAACGGCCGATCAGCTAGTTAGTCTGCGGCTAGCGCAAGGTTCGCACAACCCTCCTTCCTGAGATTGTGCGTTGGACCTATATGGTCAAAAGCATACTTTGTGTGTATGTAAGCGAGCGATTATTAAAAAATTAGTACCGTAATCGAATATATAAACATATCTGATACGTAGGTACGGTATTTTATACTTCCTAGATCATTGTAGCTAGTGTAGATATTATAACACCGTTTATTATTCCAACTTTGGGGACATTATTCTATCAGAAGATTTGCGATCGTAATTAGTTTACCGTATAATTAATAGAACTGCGCTGTGTTTACAGTGTTCCAGGTCACCTTTCATTTCTTTGTATTTGACAACATTATTTCTTTACAGCGAGTCAAGAAGTACGTCGGCTTACAAACAGGAGATTATTTTCTTTCCAGTATGAGAGGATTCTTTGCAACGAAGATCATTGTTTCGTTAGGCCACAGAATAGGCCTTGTTTACTTAGTTTTGAAGAGGATGTTTAGTTATCAGTGCGTCGGTATGCTGACATTGGGCGTGTCGATGTGCCGATCTACCACAGTAGTGTACTAGTGGATATAGGTCGACAAAATAACGTCATACCACACAGCCACCAAGCAGTAGGAGCAACGGAGATGGAGGCGAGCGAATCTTGGACATCATGAGTTATCCGAGCAAATCAAAGGTAAGTTTAGGTTAGTCCATCCTAACCTGAACAAACAACTCACCAAATAACTATTTCCAGTTCATCGTTTTGTCGAATTAGAAATAATATATGTATGTTAGTGCTCATAGGTTTGTTTTAAAATTTACATTAACTTTTGAAACTGTCTTAGATAGTTATAGCCTACTACAAAGGTGTCAAGTCAAATAAATTTTAAAAATCTACATATTTGCATACTACTTTGTAATGGATACTGAAGGTTATAGCCTAATTTTAAACTACAGTGGAATTTGAATAATTCAAACACAAAGGGGCCAGTAGAAAATACAAGTATTCAAATGTTTTAATAAAACATGATTGGTAATAAAAAAGTATTTAAAAATTTAAGTCACACTTTTTTTGCACAAAACTATACTGAAAATACATCTACTTAGTAAATCCAATAGTTTATTATATAAGATTTCTTATGGTATTTCTTAGGTTTATGGTATTTCTTAATCAAAGAGTAAAATTCTTATGGGTTGGTTTGTCTTTGATTACAACATTAATGCTTCTTTTCACAAGTGTAAAAAGTGTCTACACTTACATAAACAATGCAAGGCTAAAGAATGGCAGCAGCGCTGTATGTACAATATCTAGAGATTTAATTACACCAATGTACTATATAATACAGGTGTTTGCAAGAAGAAAGAGGACCAGTAGGTGACCAACCAAGAAAACAAACAGCGTCACTATGGCCATGGGTGATGAGGGAGTAGGATAGAAGACAATGACCTTAACTGGGTTATGTGGTGAATAGTATTAGGCTGTACTTCAACACTAAGGTGTTTCAATGTTATTTATTCTATACTTTAATCTTGTTAAACCACAGTTTGTTGCCATTCATTATTAGTCAAAAATTAAAAGCATCCAAAACTATTTTTGAAATACCCATGAGATTTCAAAATTGATTTGAAGATAATTCTAGGGACCGAGAGAAAAAGAGAATTTAAGAAGTTTACATTAACAATGTTTGAATTAAACAGATTCCACTGTAAAACCGTTAAATAATTGCATGTATCTGAATAAATTATTACAACACATTGAGTGCAGCACTTACGTCACCCTGAGCGGCCGCGCGGTCTGCCAAGAACTGCATGGCCATGACAGAGCTGCGCAACGCGTTCTGCTCGATGTTGTTCCACACGGTGGCCATGACGAAGCAGAAGATGGAGATAGCAGTGAGGACGACCAGAGCCAGCTGGAATGTCCGTGTGTAATAGCTCGGCAGGTCGGTGAACAAGCAGAGCAGGGAGATGCCGAACACGATGGCGCTGGTGATGCTCCAGTAGCGTAGCCGCGTGTAGTACAAGTCCCTTACAGCGTCTGTCACAATGGCAGTGCCTTCGCGGAGACATGTGACCATCTCTTCACGGTTAGACAGTGCATGGTCGGCTAGGCCTGCAATACATCTGGGTTGAGAATGTTAAGAAAACTCATAGATTTGCCAACTTCTCGTGTAATGGTGTTACAAAAAAAGTTAAAAGACATGAAGCAAAGTATATGATGAGTTTATTCAAATGCTCAGAGTTGATCTTAAAACAAATTTTCAACCAGGGATAGCAGTTATTTTGCTGGAGGAGGTGGACAGTGACAGCAAAAACCAATTAAATATTAAATAAGGGTACAATTTATTAAAACTAAAAAAAATTAATAGCCAAAAAATAATTTGAAAAGATTTTATGTTGAGAGTAGGCCTATATTATGACATTAAGACCTACATTGACTTTTCAGTACGAGCTCAAATTTAAGGAAAATAAGTGAGGGTTGAATAGACATTTGACCGAGTGATGGACTGACTATATTTTTCATCATACTACCATTGTATGATATGCTATATAAGTTCCTAAAATCATACATTGTTTAACTTTATAAATCAGCTGACTAAATTATGGATTTCTTATTGTTTGGCTACTAGCTGTTATTTTTACTTAGATACAACATGTATCACCCCACCAAGACAATAATCAATTCACATTTTATAGCTATAGGCCTAATTCTTTAAAATTTCAATTTGTCAATAAAGAGGTGGTGCAGTGAATATACAGTAAACTCGATAATAAATACAACAAATTTTTATAATGATACAATAATAAAATTTAATTATACTGTCCCGAAAACAGCCGTTTTTAGTTCTGTAAATCGTCTGCAAAATCATTGCTTTCGGGTAACTTCAAATTCAAATAGGAAACAGAAAAAAAATATTGTAAATTTTTCAGTTTGCTAACCTCATAATTTGTTTGTGGACATTATAAATGTTGCGTTTACTACAGAAGAACCCCTCATATCTGGCCACGGAACTTCTGGTCCTTAGTTTATCCAGTCACTTTCCAGAATCGACACCAAAATTATTTCCCATGGCTGTACACATAGTCTCCATGGTTTGAGCATTCTCACGGTTTATTTGTTTCCTGTTCCTGTACATTTTTATTGGATGGAATCTCTACTCAGTTGAGCAAGTAGATTCAACCTATAAATGGCTAGTGGATTATTTTCAGTGCGGATGGTACAGTATAATAATTGTTTTGTTTCGACAAGTGATTTGCAATGTGTTGTACACTACAATATTGTTCTATGAAAAAATGAGTGTGTAAAAACGTAAACCTAACGTGGTGACAGTGAGATGTTTGATGTGTTTTCTGATGTGTTTTGTTGATCTTCAAGAAAGAAGAAGGGGCACTCCTATTTCGGAACCAATTTTGAGAGAGAAGTCAATGATTTTACATAAGAAATTGGGAGAAAACAGTGAGTTTGTAGGAAGTAATAGCTGGTTAGACTGCTGGATAATAAGACATGGGGTTACATTTGTAAAATCTACAACATGGACGAGACTGGGCTGAATTTCAAACAGTTGCAAAAAAATTCTCTGTTCAAGATTCAAGTTCAAATCAAGGGGTTTAAGTTAGAAAAAAGAGCGTGTAACAGTTGCTCTGTGCTCCAATGCATCTGGGGAGCATAAACTTCCACTTTTGTTCATTGGTAAATCCCAAAAACCTCAAGCATTTAAACACATAAATCTTTCTTCTCTTCTTGTGATTTATCGTGCCCAGAATTCAGAGTCAGCGTGGATGGATTCATACATTTTCGTTGACTGGTTTGTGAACAAATTTATTTATTACCTAGAATCAAGGGATTTCTAAGAGAGCAAAAGTTGTCGGAAAAAGCTATTTTAGTGTTGGACAATGCTGGAACACATTCCCATGAACTCGAGTGTGAAGATTATCCCAGAATAATGTTGATTTTTCTGCCTGCCAGCATCTGCAGAAAATGTCTAGTGACTTTTTCACAAATCAGTTCACAACTCTATCACTAGCTTCACATGAACCCATAAGTCTTTACATCTTTGAAATTAAAGATGGGACTTCCCTGATAAAAAGAAACTCATGCAACTGCCCTAGCTCTATTATTTAAGACAATTTAAAAGGTATAACGTAAAATTTTAAGTAAGCCTCATCCAAACCTATGGATCAAGGTGTTATAGAATGTTTCAAAAGGTGATATCGGCGCAAATTTCAGTGAGAGATTTTGGAGCAAATTGATAATGACAGCGTGAATCTCGTCTCAGCTCTAAACGACATTAACATAAAGGACGTTATCTACATTACTGATGAATCATACAATGAAATTCCCAGTTCAACATTTGTCAAGTCTTAGCGGAAGCCCTGGCCAGATATTGAGAAATTCGTCAACCGTACTGTGTATGAAGATTTCATCCAGGTAGCAGCTGAACTGTCAGATACATGTGACATAATGCAGATCAGATTTGTGTGATAACTGTAATGTAGAACACTTGAAAAAGTTAGCATCAACTGGCGGTGACGAAATCTTGGATCAAGAAGTTCAGGAGTAGGTGACTGGTGATGATGATTAGGAAAACAACTATTTGAGTAATGAACAAATTGTGCAGAATGTTGTTCAAGAGTATGAAAACGAAGAAGCTGAAAAAACAGATGATGATACTTCTGAAGAAGATCAATTAAGCCTTGAGAAGGGGAGAAACGCACTTCAGACATTGCTAGACTACATAGAGCAACAAGACTTTTCAACATCTGTTGACGTGATGTTATTTGAAAAGTGGAAACACAATGCTTTTAAAAAAATGGACGTGAAAGTTCGGCAGGAATAAACGTACTATTTTAAGGTCTAGTAATCATCAAAGACAAATAATTATGGTGAGTAATTTATTTCTCGATCTTAATTTAACATCAAATTATGTTATTTGAGCTCAAAATATTTGTACAAATGTAAATTAATTAAATACTTGTAAATAAATGTTTAATTGGTTTCAAAATAATTATATTTTCATAAAAATAATCCCAAAATAGACTTAAACACTACTTTTGACCAATCACATGTTATTATTAGATACAAATTATTGTTTTTATGATACAGTAGACCCCTTCTTAACCGCCCTAACAGGACCAGAGCTTGGTTGGATAATTCAAAAGGTCAGTTAAAACGGTCGATCCCTAAAAAGTAAACAAATGAAGTAGGTACTATTAATTTGAAATTATATAATAACTATCCTGAAGCCATGCGTGCATTATGTACAACATTAACTACACTTGCATACTTTTTACCTTAAGTATTGACAATAGAAAAATCATAAATAAACCCAAAACATGGTGATGTACATGGTTCTTTCACTGGAATACATTATATTCGTAGGCTAGATTCAATAAAAGTTCCTATTTTAATACCTTTAGTAATGTTAATTGATGCTTTCCAAATCCATACGAATACAATATATAACAATAACTTATTGTCAGAATTAAAGATACAGTACTAGCAACCATTTCGTTAGGAGACCGAATGTTTATTCATAGCCTGTAACATACTGTAGAGTTTAGCATATTTTTCCTATCGCCGAGCGTGGGAGCGGAAATGCCAAAATTCCTAGAATAAGTGGCGATTAAACCAAACTGCTCTCAAAACAAGGTCGGTTAAAATAAAACAAACTGTAATATTTTATGAGCCAGGGCGAATAATTCGATTATCAGTTGATGCAAGGTTGTTTAAGTCTACTGCAGGTCATGTTATCTGGCCAAGGGCTCGGTACCACAAGTTATGTTTATAAAAAACAGAAATGTAAACAATGATGGCGACTTTGTATAACCTTAAATTATGTGGTCCAATTTTGTAACAATAAGAAGGTTATTTCCACATCATGTTGAAAATTGTTGTTCATCACATGGAGCGAAAGTGTCTTTGTGGTACTTAATCGTACCACAAAGACACTTTCGCTCCTAGTCATGAAATATACTATTATTGATCTAGACTCTTTTCTTTGGCAAAATCAGCTTAAGAACTTTTCAGCTATGAAAATGTGCAGCAGGTGTGCTTGACTCTTTGACTGATATTTTTATAGCCAAAATTAATAATTTGTTCTGAAGAATCAGCAGTCTAAGTTTACAAGTGCAACATGTGCAGCTGACTCTATTTTACCCTAGGGATGAAAATAACTTCTTTACCTTTGCAATACATGTATTGAAGCTGTTTCTGCTGCAATATGACTAAATAGGTATTAAAAACTTTTTATCGTCATCACTTACTGTGATTAGTGGGAGGTGTGATCTTGAATGTGGCAGAGATTGCCTCATGATCTGAGTAACTGTACGGCTTCCCAGGGACTCGCTCTGGCAGAGGGAACGTGTAGTTCAGCAACTCTATCTGCACAGAATAACTTTCAACCTTACAGTAAGTCAGAGACTCAGTTGAGCAGGGGGAAAGTGTCGTTCTGCTTTCAGCAACTCTATCTAAACAAAACAACTCTCAACACTACAGTGAGTCAGGGACTCAGTCTGGCAGAGAGATCGTGTAGTTCAGCAACTCTATCTACACAGTGGCATAAGTACATTTAACGACGCCCCTCCCCGCAGTACATGTGAATGGCACCTCCACCCCTCCTAACCATGACAAAACTTCACCACTTATGTTTTTTTTTTTGTTTATCCCAGCAAAAGCCATGATCGTGGCAAAGTCCAAAAAAAAATCTCGTGGATGTGTTTTGATCGCCTCCCTTGGTCATGGAAACATCATCATCGTGTTCCGTGGTCAGGGCTAAATCTTGAATCCTGCATTCATGTAGACTTGATCATCGTCTCATGCAGTCATTGAAAACTTGTGTAGTTTGGCAACACTATATACAAAAAACAACTCTCAACACTACAGTGAGTCAGGGACTTGGTCTGGTCTGGCAGAGGGAACATGTGGTTCGGCAACTATATCTACACAAAACAACTCTTAACACTACAGTGAGTCAGGGACTTGATCTAGCAGAGGGAACATGTAGTTCGGCAACTCTATCTACACAAAACCGCTCTCAACACTACAGTGAGTCAGGGACTCTCTGGTCTGGCAGAGGGGACATGTAGTTTGGCAACTCTATCTATACAAAACAACTCTCAACAATTCAGAGAGTCAGGGAATTGGTCTGGTCTGGCAGAGGGAACATGTAGTTTGGCAACTCTATCTATAAAAAACAACTCTCAACAATACAGTGAGTCAGGGACTTGGTCTGGTCTGGCAGAGGGAACATGTAGTTCGGCAACTAATCTATACAAATCAACTCTCAACATTTCAGAGAGTCAGGGAATTGGTCTGGTCTGGCAGAAGGAACATGTAGTTTGGCAACACTATATACAGAAAACAACTCCCAACACTACAGTGAGTCAGGGACTTGGTCTGGTCTGGCAGAGGGAACATGTGGTTCGGCAACTCTATCTATACAAAACAACTCTCAACACTACAGTGAGTCAGGGACTTGGTCTGGTCTGGCAGAGGGAACATGTGGTTCGGCAACTCTATCTACACACAACAACTCTCAACACTACAGTGAGTCAGGGACTTGGTCTGGTCTGGCAGAGGGAACATGTGGTTCGGCAACTCTATCTACACACAACAACTCTCAACACTACAGTGAGTCAGGGACTTGGTCTGGTCTGGCAGAGGGAACATGTGGTTCGGCAACTCTATCTACACACAACAACTCTCAACATTACAGTGAGTCAGGGACTTGGTCTGGTCTGGCAGAGGGAACATGTGGTTCGGCAACTCTATCTACACAAAACAACTCTCAACACTACAGTGAGTCAGGGACTTGGTCTGGTCTGGCAGAGGGAACATGTGGTTCGGCAACTCTATCTACACACAACAACTCTCAACACTACAGTGAGTCAGGGACTTGGTCTGGTCTGGCAGAGGGAACATGTGGTTCGGCAACTCTATCTACACAAAACAACTCTCAACACTACAGTGAGTCAGGGACTTGGTCTGGTCTGGCAGAGGGAACATGTGGTTCGGCAACTCTATCTACACACAACAACTCCCAACACTACAGTGAGTCAGGGACTTGGTCTGGTCTGGCAGAAGGAACATGTAGTTTGGCAACACTATATACAAAAAACAACTCCCAACACTACAGTGAGTCAGGGACTTGGTCTGGTCTGGCAGAGGGAACATGTGGTTCGGCAACTCTATCTACACAAAATCGCTCTCAACACTACAGTGAGTCAGGGACTTGGTCTGGTCTGGCAGAGGGAACATGTAGTTCGGCAACTCTATTTACACAAAACAACTCTCAAAACTACAGTGAGTCAGGGACTTGATCTAGCAGAGGCAACATGTAGTTCGGCAACTCTATCTACACAAAACCGCTCTCAACACTTCAGAGTCAGGGAATTGGTCTGGTCTAGCAGAGGGAACATGTAGTTCGGCAACTCTATCTACACACAACAACTCTCAACACTTCAGAGTCAGGGAATTGGTCTGGTCTAGCAGAGGGAACATGTAGTTCGGAAACTCTATCCATACAAAACCACTCTCAACACTACAGTGAGGCAGGGACTTGGTCTGGTCTGGCAGAGGAAACATGTAGTTCGGCAACTCTATACAAAACAACTCTCAACACTACAGTGAGGCAGGGACTTGGTCTGGTCTGGCAGAGGGAACATGTAGTTTGGAAACTCTATCTATACAAAACAACTCTCAACACTTCAGAGAGTCAGGGACTTGGTCTGGTCTGGCAGAGGGAACATGTAGTTTGGCAACTCTATCTATACAAAACAACTCTCAACAATTCAGAGAGTCAGGGAATTGGTCTGGTCTGGCAGAGGGAACATGTAGTTCGGCAACTCTATCCATACAAAACAACTCTCAACAATACAGTGAGTCAGGGACTTGGTCTGGTCTGGCAGAGGGAACATGTAGTTCGGCAACTAATCTATACAAATCAACTCTCAACATTTCAGAGAGTCAGGGAATTGGTCTGGTCTGGCAGAAGGAACATGTAGTTTGGCAACACTATATACAAAAAAACTCAAAATTACAGTGAGTAAGGGACTCATTCAGTAGCACGACTGACTACAGATCCAAGGCAGCAATAGTTTCGCGCCATCGCTTAAAATCAATTCAGTTCATTACTGCACTCTCCCAGTTACTCCTCGCAATGGTATGTTCCATGGATATAGTTAGTAATGTAATTTTAAACCAACTTGGTTAGAAGTTTAATAAGCAATCTGGGAATTTTTCAAACATATTTAAATTTAAATTCATGGATAGTGGCAAACAGTTTGTAACTCGATTATTTACAAGGGTATGGAAAGGCATGTGCATGAGTACAGACTGATTTAGTAAATGGGACGGGCCCAGGGGCGCAAGAAATTTTATATTTGTTAGGGACAAAACAAGTGAAAAGGTGTTACATCGTACCCCAAAGAAGTCTTTCCGACTGTCAATTCTCACTTATGACTGATCACTGCGACTGTCAGCATGTTGCTACTTGACTGTTACTTTGTCTTTCTTTGTCAAAATGATTTTTTAATCACATGCTATTAGTTAGCTCATGAATATGAGGGGAAAAATACTACTGATCTTCGTGCGGGGTTGCATTCAATTCAGAATGTTCTCAGAATATGATTTATTAAACTGCCAGTGTTTGTTTTTTTAAGCAAAAGCAATTGACAATGATGATGTCTCGTCTATAGTGGAAAATGATCAAAATTTTGCTGCCATTGAGGAAGTATCTCTTCATGTTCTCTCAGATTTTCATGAATTTCCTGGGTTCGGGGAGATGTCCACGATTTTGGTGCTATGGCGGATAATGATGTCCCTGCAATCCCGAGAAATAAATAAAATAGTACTGGGAAAACAGATTGCAGTCCTGATTACATAAAGAAGGTTCAATAAAGATTGACATTTTCTGAAAAGTTCTACCACGTTCTAGTCCCAAAAACAGGCAGGAAATGAAAGTCATGTCACAAATTAGAATGGGTATTTTATACAACTTTGCAAATTCTTAGTACCGTATCTATGTTTTATTTGATTGTTTATCATAACTCTGCAAGTTATCATTGTTAACTTGTTTGTGTGTATTTATATATCAAAGGCATTAGAATATTTTTTTTATTGATTCATACCAATGGAGGAGGAGGCACGGGCCCATAGACCTTCTCAGGCCAGCATGAGTAGGCCTTCGTGAGTTATACCAATGAATACAAACCTTCTAAGAAGCGAAACGTCCGTGTTAAAGATTTAGCCTAGGATTTTTTAACTTTGGCAAGATTCTGTGGTGGCGGCTAGGTTGAAAAGGTCTACTATCACTGGCGGGCGGCGGCGTCAATGGCACCCCACAGCAGTGAGTGAGACAAAGAATTGGCATGGAGAGAGAGGGGAGACGAAGAAGCTACCGCTTACCTAGCAAAGCTAATTTCAGAGGCAAAATCCAGTCTGACTTTTCCCAATAAGCATTTCTCTTCTTATAAGGTGTATATTCATTGGTTATACCTATACCCCCAGGCCTTTCCTGTCATCTGAGGACCCAAAAAGAACAAATGTGAACAAGAGAGAGTATTTGATGGTAATTTAGCGTTTCATATACATTTACAAAATGTAATAATTAAGAACATAGTTCTGTACTTAACAAAAATAAGACTTACAAAGGGCTGTATGTTACCTTGGTACCAAGTCCAGGACGATAGAGAATGTGATCTATCCTCTGACCACTTGGGTTTTGCGACACTAGCTTTTGATCTGCGTAACTGTTACGCTTGCAGTCAAATGTGCCCAAGTCACTGCCTCCAGTCTGTTAAGACACAACAGTGATTCAGTTGTCATAGAGATGTTAACATAAAGATGGTTTTTTAAACAATTTGTGGATGTCATTTGTAAATTTTATAAAGTATGTTGCAAATTCAAGCATAACCTTGTAGTTTTTTTTTTTAAGTTCACCAGGAATTAATGTCAGAAAAGCACCCAAAAAGAACTAAGATGAAAAATCCCTTTAAAAACTTTCATTCTCAGTCTATATTTTTTACTGGAACATAAAAACCAACAATGAAAACTAAATAGAGTATCCTAAAAATGTCACTAGTGTTAACTCCAGCTTGGAAAAAGAACATTAAATCCAAATTTAGAAAAAATTAAATATAATTTTATCTGGACATAACACTAAGGACCTTGGGCTTCAGCTTCTGTATTCTAAACACCTAAAACTAACGCATCTCACAAACTCAATCCCCAAATCAATAAAACTTGCAGCCTACCAGTACTTGAACACAATACTTCCAAAAACTTCTTCTTTACATTATTTATTTTTATTTATTTATTTTATGAGTTTTTACACATTATTATAATTATTATGATTATGAACCCCCCCCTTATTAAACATGTTACAGTATGTAAGATCAATGAAAATAAACAACAGAAGTTAATAGTGGGGAGGCAAATGTAGTAAAATATGTCAAATTCCAAAGTTGGCTCACCCCGAAAGGTAACCGGTGAACACTATGCTAGATGATATTCAGTGCCGGATTTAGGGTACTTGAGGCCCTAGGCCAAATTACTTGAGCGGCCCTCCCCCTCCCCCTGTGGTGGAAATTCCTTGCAATCGCGGAAATAATCGTGAATATCTCTTATGCATCGAGGGGACATCATCATTGACACCCGTGATCGTGGATGAAATCGTGGACATCTCTCCTAAATCAAGTCAAAGCAATCATAGGTATACGAGAGCGTGGCAAAATCATGAACATCCCCACGGGCTGCAACAAAGGGACATTATCACCGTCACCCGCGACCGCAGTAAAATCGTTAAGGGGATACGCTACTATCTCCAACTTTATTTTTATTTTTTAATTTTTGTCAACCTAATTAGTATATTTTGTTTATACTCGACTTATTTAGAAGATTTAGGTCCAAAAAATTGAATTTATGACTTATTTACTAAATGTATATGCGGTTTTAGTTTTTTTCACCCAAATTTTTAGGGATTCGGTATTGAGAATAACTTTTTAACTACTGAACTGAATGACATATTCTATTTATTTCCTGATTCAGGATTAAATAATGAGTCATTCTGTGTATAATCGTTATGGTAACTAACAAAACAATATTTTTAGGACACTTTATTCAAAATATAAAAAAAGCTAAAAAAATTTAAAAATTAAGCGTAAACATAAATAGTTTTAGTAAATGTAATGCTATAGGGGTTTTTATACACACAATCCCTTATTACTTTATAAAGAAGGTCTGGTGAAAATTTGAATACTATAAGTATAGTACTAACGGAGTTATTCTAACTTTTTTACAATAACAACCTAAAAAACACGGTATTGAGATAATCGCAGGTGATTGGCAGAACTAAAATCCCCATGACAACACTAGTTTATTATTTTATATTATATATAAAAATACCAAAGTACTTATTTTGTTTTAAATAAATGTACCCTACTTTAAACCTTCATAATACATAATTATGATACAAAATCAAAAATGTAAATATCAGGAACAAAAAAAATAAATAGTCAAAGTTTTTTTCAAATTACTGGTTGCGGCGTTTTATATTTTATTTATTTTATACTAGGAGTTATCAGATTGGAAACATTTTTTAGGTAAATGTTCACAACTAAATAACCTATCTAAAAATGCAACTTTTGGAAAATGTAAAATAAATAAAAAATATGGCCCAGAGATAGTGGCGTATCCCCTTAACATCTCCCGTGGCCCGCAATCACAGGGACATCATCATCAACACCCACGGCTGCGGCAAAATCGTTAACATCTCCTGCATGCCGCAATCACGGGGACATCATCATCGACACCCACGGCCGCGGCAAAATCGTGAACATCTCCCGCGGGCCGCAATCACAGGGACATCATCATCGACACCCACGGCCGCGGCAAAATCGTGAACATCTTCTGTGGGCCGCAATCATGGAAACATTATTATGGTCACCAGCGAGCACATAATAATAATAATAGAGAGGACACGGCGTTTAACCAAATGCACTGAAAGTGTGGCCAAATCCGCCATCTTGGTCCGTCATACAGCCTGAATCCAAGACCCGCGAGCTCAGTTCGCATTAAAAACCCCGCGACAAATACACGATCATAAACAACATTAATAGTTGACAAAAAATTCTGAAATTTTGCACACTTTTAGATATGATACTGAGGAAAACGATGGTGGTAATATAAAGTTATTAGTTATGACAGTAATTGAGTTATAAATATGTTTAACACTTATGTAGTTTAATTTTTCAGATTCAGACATGAAAAAGTTGTATTGCGAGGAAATTTTTTATTTTTTGGTCAGAGAAATTTCGTCAGCGGGAAAGTTGTGGATAAATAACCAAATTTAACTATCCGATTCACCAAACATTTTTATCATGTTCGGTTTTCTAAAAAATCAAGTACAAAAGGGATCCATTGCCGCTGCTCCGCGCTACGCCCGCTGCGCCGCCGGGCCGTCGTCTATACATTTAGCGTGCAGTGTTTTAATGTTTTATTTATACTGTTGTACTGTAATATTGTATGTATTAAAGAAATTTTCAAATATATTGTCTATGAAGAATTTTCAACCGTTTAGCACAACTTTTTAAGGACTAATTAGCTTTCAATATCATCCAAGATAAACTAAAGATAATTCTGTAAGTTAAATTAAACTTCCCAAATATATTTGTGAAATTACACTCAATTTATTGTCCCAGAAAAATTACAGTTTTATTGAGATGTAGCCTGATTTTATTTTTGTGAAGACTTTCGTTACTTATTTTACAGTAGTAGCGAACTCTAACATTGAAATATTTTTTAGCAATAATTTTAATTAGGTACTAAACAAAAATGATTTTTGTCCATATTGTTTCATATCCTAAAAAATATGTACTATTTGGAAACAAATTTACTCCTACACATTGTCCAAGTACTTTGTTCGTCAAGTCCTCAATTACATTGTTTTCCTTTACACTAATATCATTAACTTTATATCTACACTATCCTTAGCAAGCATATCAGACGACTAACGCGCTGCACACGCCGGGACTACTGTCGGGGAAATAAATATGTGCTGAGTTTGAGCCTAAATATCTCTTGAGATTAAGAAACCGATTTTGTTGAGACAAAAATTAAATATAAACTGGCTTAAATACATTTTACGTAGTAACAATAAAAAAAATTTCCGTTCACCAGAAAAATTTTTATAGTTGAAAGATTCTAAAAAGTACCGGTTTTTAAGAAACTCTGCACTAACACTGAAGTTTAAAACTTAATTATAAACAAACCAATGAGCCAATCTTTCTGAAATTTTTATGGCTTATTGGTAGATTTATTGTTAACAGTTCCATGCATTTTAAAATTTTTACTCACGATAGTTTTTATGCTGATGTTTATTCTTAAAACGTATGCTAACATCGTTAATAAGACGCTAAAAATTTCGTTCAAAATACCATCGTGTTTGTCGTGACACAAGAAATAACACCAATATGACAGATTTATAATGCGAACAAAGGTGTTTTTTAAACAGATATATATTTGTACACAAAAATTTCTCCCGCAACTGGCAGGCCGATTGGCTCAGTGGTTTGTTTACAATTAAATTTTAAACTTCAGTGTTAGTGCAGAGTTTCTTAAAAACCGGTACTTTTTAGGATCCTTCAACAATATAAATTTTTCTGGATAACGGATTTTTTTTATTGCTACCACGTAAAATGTATTTAAACCAGCTTATATTTAATTTTTGTTTCAACAAATTGGATTATTCATCTCTGAGATATTTAGGCTCAAACTCGAGTGCACATATTTATTTCCCCGACAGGTAGGCTAGCGCCGCCATCTTTGTCCGTTTCGCCGGCTAGTAAGACTGCCACGCTCCTGCGCTCCGAGTAGCGCTTCTATTTTGTTATGTGTTCGCTGATGGTCACCTGTGATCGCGGCAAACTAATGGTTAAAAAAATTATTTGTTTATCTAAAAAAATTGTTGTGCAATCTTCTGCGGCCCCCTCTTGCTTGCGGCCCTAGGCCGCGGCCTAATCGGCCTAGTGGTAAATCCGGCACTGATGATATTGTATAGTAGTAGAGATGATATTTTGACCGGTGTTCACTCTGTATGAGTGGGACTCTCTTTTCTGGACGCCATTTTCCAAAATGGCGGATGTCAACGTTTGATCTTTGAATAACTCGTGCAAAAATGATCCGATTTTGATTAAATTTGGTATAAACGTTTAAACTTACATTTATTCTAATGAGTCCGAGAAACAGCATGATCGGACCATGGGAACGGGGGTTTATAGGGGGTTTTATGGGGTAAAAATGGGATTTTCTTATTTTTTGCCCCCAAAGCACAACATTTTCCAATTTCTCTCTAAACCATTTTAAACAACTTAAAAAAAGGAATAATTTAATATATTAACGTTTTTTGTACCCTTATTGGTTACGGAGAAAATTCAAAAAAGTGTTATCAAAAATTCCCATGTTATTCTTATGGAGGATATTGTCAACTCTTGTAGTTTGCTTGTTTATGGATATATTTTGATCAAACCTGATAAACTTATTTATTTATACTAAACTATTAATATTAATATTCTACTAACGTTCACACTTTATTAGCCTCCCTGTAGCAGCAAACCTAGGTACTCGTTAAACCTAATTTTATTTAAATTGAATTAATTTAAATACAAATCAGGCAAATGTAAATTCGCTTAGTCTGCTGCAGGTTCGCTGTGACGGGGGTATTTTATTCTTGGCATTTCTTCCTAACCCTAGTGGTTCAGGAAATATAAGCAGTTAAAGTTGGGGTTTCCTTCATGATAAATACATTGATCTGTTTTAACTGTCACTCTAATGTATTTTCTGTGCTATTCCGTTGCATTTAAGGAGTGCAAACAATTTTGAATTGGAACATAATAACAAAGCTAGATTATCAGGCACATCTCAGATTCGCACAATGCGTTAAAATATTAAAAGTATCGTTTTATTTTAGTTTTTTCTCCATGATGAATTGTTTTTGGCGGCCATTTTGTGGGATCAAATCAAATTTTAAGTTGTAGATTTAGTTTCCCACCCTTGTAAACATTAAAAACGATATACTACACACTACCTATATCTAGCAAAAATGTTTTTAACTATTTTTCTCTGGGAGCGATTATTATTCTAATTTAAATGCCATAATATCAGGTACTTTCCCAAGTCGGATTCTGGTAGACTTTTTTTTTTGTTGTGTGGAGGTATAAAAGTAATGAAATCCTTTGAAAAACCTTTTGAAACAATTTTTTTTGACCCTCCACTATATATTCCTCTTGAATGGCCGGACTATTACAACTCCACAGACTTTTCATACCGTAGTTTATGTTTATCAATATTGCTCTTATTGCAAAAACTGGCATGGCAACTTGCTTTATGCCATTTCGGATCTTTTAGCTCTAGTATTTCTATGTCTGGCTCGAGACGCTTTAATACATCCAAAGTTTTTACGTCCTGTAAGACAAACGTTTTTAGTAGCATTGCTTAACTCGATTTATTTCATCTTTGCCACCATTTGTGAGATTTTCATTAAATACAACAACTTGGCAAAATATGCATAAATCCCAGTTTGTTAGCTCCGAAACTTTACGCTTCACTGGCAATCTGGCAACAGGTATCAATGTCTGATCCATTTAAGATATGTTTCATGTAACATTTGTTTTGTATAATTATGTATATTGAAATACCACCACTGAAATAATACACTAAACTGAAATACACAAAACTGAAATACACTAACTGAACAATCAAACTGAATCATTTTTATCACATAATTAAACAAATACAAAAATGAAAAAAATCATCTTCAATAATCAATAATCATATGTCAATGGTCAACAGCTGTTAAACATTACCAACTGAAACCCTGTGCCAAGTTGATTTTCCCTACTGATTCTCTTAAAATCAGCTGTCTCAATCTTCAATTATACACCAAATAAAAACTGTATTACGATACCTTTAATATTTTAACGCATCGTGCGAATCTGAGATGTGCCTGATAATCTAGCTTTGTTATTATGTGCCAATTCAAATTTTTTTGCACTCCTTAAGAAATGCAACGGAATAGCACAGAAAATACATTAGAGTGACAGTTAAAACAGATCAATGTATTTATCATGAAGGAAACCCCAACTTTAACTGCTTATATCTCCTGAACCACTAGAGTTAGGAAGAAATGCCAAGAATAAAATACCCCCGTCACAGCGAACCTGCAGCAGACTAAGCGAATTTACATTTGCCTGATTTGTATTTAAATTAATTCAATTTAAATAAAATTAGGTTTAACGAGTACCTAGGTTTGCTGCTACAGGGAGGCTAATAAAGTGTGAACGTTAGTAGAATATTAATATTAATAGTTTAGTATAAATAAATAAGTTTACCAAGTTTGATCAAAATATATCCATAAACAAGCAAACTACAAGAGTTGACAATATCCTCCATAAGAATAACATGGGAATTTTTAATAACACTTTTTTGAATTTTCTCCGTAACCAATAAGGGTACAAAAAACGTTAATAAATTAAATTATTCCTTTTTTTAAGTTGTTTAAAATGGTTTAGAGAGAAATTGGAAAATGTTGTGCTTTGGGGGCAAAAAATAAGAAAATCCCATTTTTACCCCATAAAACCCCCTATAAACCCCCGTTCCCATGGTCCGATCATGCTGTTTCTTGGACTCGTTCGAATAAATGTAAGTTTAAACGTTTATACCAAATTTAATAAAAATCGGATCATTTTTGCTCGAGTTATTCAAAGTCAAACGTTGACATCCGCCATTTTGGAAAATGGCGTCCAGAAAAGAGAGTCCCACTCATACAGAGTGAACACCGGTCAAAATACCATCTCTACTACTATACAATATCATCTAGCATAGTGTTCACCGGTTACCTTTCGGGGTGAGCCAACTTTGGAATTTTGTCCATTTGCCTCCCCACTATAATACCTTACTGCATTGCATATAGTTTTTTATTTTACCTAACAAGCAAAATTTTGTCAACTCTACATACCTACGGAAAGTAAGAATATTGATAATTAAATACAGTATAATCTTTTTCATGTCAAACCCTCAAGTCACTGAATTTGCAACTAAAGTCTCCAAGTTTACATTCAAGTTTCTTGTGGGCATTAGTGAATCTTTAACAGCGTGAATAAAAATATTAAAGGGGAAAAATGAAGGCAAGGTACGACTAGCCAAGGTGGCCGTGGCTTACATGTTTGTCGTAGGAGTCTTGAAGGTGAGCCGTGTGTTGTATCAGCTGGTGACACAGTTCACCGGGTTGTGTGTTGAGGTCACCAGCCAGCACGTTGAAGTGTGCCGCCCCTGAGGTCAGGTCCACAAACTGTGCCGTGTCAAACGCCTGTACCACTCTATGAGCCAGGTATTCATCATCTTCACTGTACTGAGCGTGCAGCTGTCAAAGACAGACTAGGATAACTTATGGATAAATAGCTCAAAGTTCAAGTAGACTTAATTATCTTCTAAAATTTGCAGCCTTTTTTGTGTGTTTATTTTGGTAAGGTTTTAGAGTGTGCTGATGCTGAACATTTTGTTTGTTTTAGAGTAGATTTTACAAAGTTTGCTTTATGGTTTTGGTGAAGCACACATAATGCTTTGAACGGTTTGTGTGGTATTCCCAGTCTCAAGAAAGTTTATTAAATTTGTTGGTTTTCCTTTAGGTTGCCAGGTTCTTGAAGTATGTTTTGATATGAAGCCCGATGTACATTCTGTCACATGTACAACATCATCAGGAGCAAAGTCTATATTTACATAAACTCTTTTAACTACTAAGATTATGGATTTTAAAAATTGCTTTTGCTCTGGTATTATAACCTATAACTAAAGAGTTAAAGCATAATTTACTTAATTATAAGGGTCAATTAAATAATTGTATCAAGGGCAGTCCTTTCAAATGTTACCAGGTATGAATCACACATCAAATCAGGCTTCAAATGTTATAATTGGAAATTAAGTAGTCACACACATAAAGAAACCTTTCTGGCAGTTTTAATAGGGAAAATCATCTTGTAAACAAAATCACGTGACCACCTTTTTCTTTCATCCGATTATTAGGTCTATACAATATTAATTTTAAATCTGAAAATTTGAGGTAATTTTCATCAACACTCTTCAACAGCTGGAAAAATCTGGTATTCCGGTAATAACAAGATGGATGCTGACTTCCAAGGTGTCCAGAGTCTGTGGCTTATCAGCGTAGTCTTGTGACTTCACATATCACCCCAGAAAATTATCCGTCAGCGTGAAATCATACTATTGTGGATGCTAAACATTAACCCCATACATGTTGAGCTTGCCAAAAATCAAAGCTCTTCTAAATTTTTGGCAATTTTGTTTTGATGAGGAGAAAAAAAAGTTTATTATCATCGCTCTATAGCATTCTCCATTTCCCATGGTTTGAATTATGCCCCAGCTGTTGGAAAATGTTTTTGAAAATTGAAGTTAAAGACAGTGCTTCCCACTAGATCGCCACAGTGTCCATATGTACTTGTTTAAACACTAATGGTAAAACACTGTATTAACTGTATTTTTTTTTAATTGCACCGCAAAAAACACCATGTAGGTATGTATTTGTATTGGATTCTCAAGACTCAAGAAATCTTTCTAGTGTAGTAAGTATAGAATATGACAGAATTAGACAAAGATTTTTTGGGGACGGAGGATGGCAAACATAGGCTTCACACAGTTTAAAGTTCTAGAGTGTTTAACTAAAAAATATAAATGTTAATAGAGTGATTTTTTATAAGCTATAATATTTAGACTGTGTTTGTGTTGACATTAAGTCACATACTGTTTTAAAAGTAATAGTTTTTAATATTTTAATGTTAAGAAATTTTTAGTTTGGATGTATTAAATCTATTATTAAGTACAAAGTCCCGCACATGAGTGGTGTAGACATTGATGTTGAGACCTCTGACTGATATTCGACAAAGGCCGATGCCCTTCCCTCCGAACCAGTCTCCGTGAAAGATTTTGTGAATGTAGCCATTGACGGACCACTGGTGGAACATGAAAGACTCAAACGGATACCTCGAGAGAATACTCAGCCCCGAACCTGTTACTCCACTGCAATCAGAGACATCAAAAAGAATGATTTCAAAATGGCAGCTATCATTTTGGGTATGGAGAATATATTAATTGTTTTGGTAATAAGACTTTTTATAGTACAGGGGTTTTTAAGTACAACCCAAATTACAAGTACCATAAGAAACTTTTAACGGCAAAACCAGCTCCTATGTTGGGGTCTCTGTATTCTTAACTTCATTGCCAATCAGCTGATATGCATTGTTGCATAGATATCTATGTGTTTTAGTGTTATTGGGAATTTATGGTGAATAAGACACAACATTGTGTTTTCACAAGCTCGAAGAGTATATGTAGGCCTATTGTACATTAAAATTAAATCAATGGTTTCATGCCAAGAAGGATTCAATTAAGTTTCCATCTGGGATTCCAGGTACCGGTACCTAAAAAAACAACTATTCATAAAATTGTAAAGAATTAAATAAAACTGGTTTTGAAGGGGAAAAAGCGTAGACGTACACCACATACTGTCATACTCTATTTGAAATTGTTAAAACACCATGTTGCAGTGGCGGTCCCAGGATTTCATTTCAGGGGGGGGGGAGATGACCAACGGGGTATAGAATATATGGAAGGGGAATAGAAAAATGTGGAATTTAAAGCCTATACTTATTTGAGCTCTAAATATGTTCAAGCTAATAGTATTTATGTTAGCTAATAAAATATAAAATATTTCGAGGGGGGGGAGATTTATCCCTCCGACCCCCCCCCCCTGGGACCGCCACTGCCATGTTGTGCCTTATAAACAAAAAATTATCATCAATAACACTAAACCTCATAGATATCTATGCAACAATGCATATTAGCTGATCGGCAATAAAGTAAAGAAAACACAGATACCAACATATGAGTTGGATTTTTGGTTAAAAAGTATCTTTAAAAAACACTCTGTATAAATGAAATTTTTAGTTTAACTGACAATGGTTTTAATATTTTGTAATGTAATTTTAAATTTGAAGTCCTTTTTCTTTGTGGCAACATGTTAAAGTTTTATTTAAGGAAGGAGGAGGGGGAGGAAATACACTTCGAGATAACACATCAGTCTAGACCTGCCCTTCGTGCGTATCGTGGTTCCCGCTACCGGCGTTTTTGTATATTGTTCGTTTGTGTGTTTAAATCAAAGATTACATATGCTGGTTAAATGTATGACATTGATGGATTTTAACTTCAACGACTTCCTCTGGAACGAAATTTGATGTCCTTGACAGCCTGATGAAGTTCCCATCACGAACGAAACTGCAGTAGCCTATATTTGGACTACTAAGGATCACTTTACAGTATAAGGTACTTAAACCATTATTTATTAATTATTTAAGTTCTCTGTGAGTAGGCTACTGGTAGTAGGTCTAGTCAGTGCATGTATATCGCCTTAAATATTTTGTAATTTATTTCAATAAATTTTTGCTTAAGCTTAATAGTCTAGAATGCTTAATAAAGACTGAAATCATCAATAAGGACCAAATACTTAATGTATAGGCACTGAAATGTTTACTTGTCAGTGCTAGGTGGCGGAATCGTACCCCCTGGCATTGTACTCCCTGCAGGTAAATGACGTCTCATTTTCTCGACTAAAACAGTATGTGCGGGCTGTAATTGTACCCCCCCCCCCCCCCCATAAAACTTTGATATTGTTATGCACGAGTGGTTCAATTAAATCCACAGCATCTAAAAAAGTGTACGGGCCGGAATTGTTACAACTCACGTTTATTTGGTCAGTGTACGGGGTGGAATTGTGCCCCCCCCCCCATTTTACTGTGATTAATAAGTGTGTAGCATCAAAATTAAATATAATATAATATGCGTTAAACTCCAAGCTTAAAATAGAATTGAGTTCTACGCAAAACCTTAATTCATTGACCACTCCGACTTTTACAAATTTATATTATTTAAAGAATTTGTTGAATTTTTGTGTGCAGCAAATCGACCCCTAAATATTTATTTTTATAGGCATATTGGGTATCAATTTGAAGCTCTTATCCTCTAGATGTGCCTTTTATGGGTTTGGGTTATGTCCCGTGAAAGCCCTTTGTCTTATAGCCTTTTAAAATGTTATAGTTTGTACTGAATTCTGTCGTCAATCATCTGAACTTTTCCAAGTTTGCATTTGTTTACATCAAAACATATGGCCTTGGTACAATTTTGTTTACACCCATACGAAAATGGGGTTATCTGTAGCTGGTGATGCTTCAGTGAATTCAAGTAAAATGTTGTAATGTTATTTGTATAAAATATAAAAAAAAATTACGTTAGGTTTTGTGTTGTGAAAGGATTTTGTGTTTTCATAGAATAGTATGATTTATTGATGTTTTAGGGGATTCAAGTAAAATATTGTAGTGTTATTTGTTTAAAAAGTAAAGAAAATTACTTACGTTAGATTTTGTGTTTTTATAGTATGTTTCATTAGTATTTGTAATTTTTCTAAGATACCTCGAAGAGATCGCGCACGCAATTAAATTAATAGGGATCGCAATGCAAATAATAGGGATATGATGAGAAATAATCGTTTCCATCCTTATCAACCATATAGTTACGAAGTGACGCAGGCTGTTAGTAATGTAATAACAATATTTTCCAATGGACCTATTTGTCTTTATATTCTCTGTACAGGATTTAATTCTAAAATATGTCACTTTAAAAGGCATTTGCTACTATTTCATTTTAATAATACCAATTAAGTTCAGTGCAAAACGTTGGAAGATGTTACTTACATGGGGGGAGCTACAATTCCAGCCTGTACACAAGCCAAGTGACCTGTCCAAGATGGGGGTGCAATTCCGGAGGGTACATTTCCACCCCGTACACATTGGGCTATCTGATAGGGGGTACAATTCCACCCCGTACATAAATAGTTTGATGTTGGCAGGGGGTACAATTCCGGCGACCCGTCAATGCTTGTACAATACAAGTCTACAGTGTGATAGAAAAGTCCCGGAAAGGTGTAATATGTTTTTTACCATTAAAGATAAAGTGACTTGGCACATCGATAATAACCATTATCTACTCTTTTCAGCTATTATCACCTCTTATATACCCTAAGGGGGGCCCACGAGGAGTCAGGCAAAATTCTCAAATAGTAGCATAGGTCGAGTTTGGTATCAAATTAAAGGTCTTAGTTAGTAGATCACATTGCCGCAAACCCGAACTCAAAAGGACAACTGAGAAGATTCATTGAATTTGCAATGCTACATCCTCAGAGGGCACCCACTAGAATTCGGATGAAGGAAATCATAAACCAAAGCATAGGTCGATATGCACATCAAATTAAAGGTCTTTATCAGTAGAATACAATGCCGCAAATTTGAGCTCAAAAGATAAACTCAAGAGTACAAAATGGCAGATTCAAGAAATATTTAAACAGCTGCCATTTTTGACTCGGTTGTCCGTTCGAGTTCAGGTTTGCGGCAATGTGTCCTACTAGCTAATACCTTTATTTTGATATACCAAATTTGACCTATGCTGCTATTTAGAAATTTTGTCTTACTCCTTGTAGGTCGTCCCCCTTAAGGAGTGAAAAAGTAATAATAGCTTAAAGAGTACCGGTAGACATTTATGGTTATTATCAATGTGCCAAGTCTCATAACTTTATTATTAATGGTAAAAAATATATACCACCGTTCCGGGACTTTTCAATCACACTGTAGGCATATATTATAATTTCTAAAGTACTTTTTTTTGTTGGTACCGGTACACCATAACTTCCTTGGTTCTTCAGAAATTTTCATGAATGAGGTGTAATTTTTAAGCTACGCTAGGAAAGTAGGCTACACAAATCACTTATTTTTCAATAGTTTTTCGTAAAAACAATCAATTATATCATTCTGCAAGTAATTTTGACTTTAAATGTTTATTTACGTTATTCGATCAGCTGAAGCATGTGAATAAAATTAATCAAAAGAAACAAATATTTATTTCTCAAATCTGAGTTGTTTTTTTTAACTTCATCCATGACGACAAACTTAGTCTGTGCTTTCTACGATAAATAACCCACTTTAAAAAGGTCTAAACAAGAACAATTTAAAAGTAAGTACCACATGGATTCTTATTTTTTATATTGCTTTATTTACGACATAGTCTTCATTTTGACATACGTACCAAACATTCTATTTATATTTAAGAACTCTATCTTCAAAAATCACCTCTTATCTTTTCTTTATTAGCTTTCAATAAATGGTTATGTTGTGTCTGATTTGTTATCGGTAGGAACCGGTTTATATCAGTTTGAATTCGGTTCTTAATCAAGGGACGTAGAATGCTCTGTTATGTCCATTAGAGTTTTTGAACTTATTAAGCCCTGGTTTGTCACCTCATAAACCCATGCTAAATAAAACTCTATTATCATGTTGATGAGAAACCTAAGCAGGGTCCAAGATAAACAAACGGTCACTTAAGCACCTACACTATCAAAGCGAAGTTGGCAGACTCCTGAAGTCAAACTGTCATACTACGCAATAGCACAGAAAACATACTACTATAACCCAGAATGCCAACCGCATGGTAAAAAGCGTTAAGTACTTTGAGAGAGCTTTGCCTGTCAGTTCGTAGGCAGCGCCACCAGCGTTGCAATGCACTCAGCATAGCAACGATGGTGGCGCTGCCTACGAATTGACAGGCAAAGCTCTCTCAAAGTACTTAACGCTTTTTACCATGCGGTTGGCATTCTGGGTTATAGTAGTATGTTTTCTGTGGCAATAGTCTGTAATCCTTTCGAACTGACTAAGAAGATATTTCCCGTAAAGGTTACCTTTGCCTTGGCTTTAAATAAGGCACATGGACAGAGGCTAACGATGGAAGGTTTCTATGCGACAGACCCTGTTTTTTTACACATTGAGTTTTTTGTGGCTTTATGAAGGGTGCGTTTTTCAGTGAAAACTATAGGCCTATCTGTGTAAAAACAAAGTAATCAAAACAAAAATCGTATATGGTCATATTATTACTTCAAACATAGTGTTCAAAGAGGTACTATAAACATGTAAAATCATAATACATTAACTAAAAATTATATTTTGAAAAAGTTAATTACTTACCTAAAATGTAAAACCACATCTATTCCTGAAGTAAGAGCCTATACTTAAATCAACAATTCACTTATTAGGTGGTTTAACTGTATGTTGTGTACTTAAATACTGTAAGTGGGATTTGAGAAGGATTCAGTGTGAATGTCTCGCACGGGTCAGCTAGTCATCTTTATTTATAATGTATTTTTACATTAATTCATGAATTTGCATCACAGAAACATAATCATAACACACATAATCATAATCAATTGTGTTGTTCTACATGCCTGGCTGGTCTTTTGTAAACTGTAACTGTGGAAATGATCAGTTGAATTTTTTACATAGAATGGTTGCAAAAATGTATTTCGTAAATTGTCATTATGTACCTAATTTAGAAAAAAATATCACCCACATGCTTGTCTGTTTTTTATATTCAAAATAATTCTAAGAGCTTTTTCCTGTTGACGAATAATTTCGTACAGGTTGTTTTTGTGGTACGCTATTACCAAATAAAGCTATTCTTTTTTTAAGCTATGTGAATTTATTAAAGCAAAGTAAATAGTTCTTGAGGATTCAATGCTTGAAACCCGTGACATTTGTCACAAGGCATAAAGACCCGCTGAAGGTTTTTTTTCACCACATGCTTATTCCAGGTTAAATGCTGGTCTAATATTAGACCAGGGCATTTAAATTTAGTGTGCGCTTGATTTTTGTTTGAACCATTAAGATAGATATCTGGTTGTAAATTTAATCTTGATTGCCTTGTGGAGAATGATAAACAATTTGATTTATTAGAGTTTATTAATAGACTAGAGAACCCGTGCGGCTCATTAAACAACGCCGAGGAAAACGTTATGCTTAAATTGGAGTAATTCTAGTTACATCTTAGAGTTGTTTAAACACTTGTTATAAACTATTTTAAATATCCCTATTTGTGTCGTCAATGTTCACCTACATTATTTCTGCTCTCAGTTTTAACTGATAACTTCTAATGAATGCTAAGCGATCTGCTTCAATTCGAGCTAACATGTTGCAACAAAGTTTTTCCAGCATTGAGAATTTAAGAAAACTGTTGCCTAGACATCCCCCTAATCAAACGAATTTTCTACGTAGAGAATCCTGAAAAATGGAGTGATATAAACCATTTAATGTGCTCCATTTTTTACCCACAAACTCTGGGTTATCAACTGGAAAGCCATAATCTGCTTTGAATAGGCTAAAGCAGCAACTTATCAATGGCGTTACACCATTGATAGTTTGTTAACGTATTTTAACGTGTTGTGTGTTAGTCACAGTATATGACCTGCATCAGAACGTTCTCACATTGTTCTTTGGGGTTTCTCTTAATACCTGTCCCAAAGTTTTGAAAGTATGGATTCATTTGTCGAAATAGGTTGGATAACTCTTGTAGCTATAAGATTTGGATAGCAATTTTCATTTTCTCTTTTTGAACAGTGTATATTATTTGCCTCTCCTGAATCATAAAATTAAACTTGACTGTAACTACTCGATCGTTGAATACATAAACACTAATTCCTTCACTTATGTCTAATATTACTACTAAAATTCAGTAAAAAAACTTTGTATAAGTTTGTCCAAGGAACTGGCAACATAACCTAGAAATAAACAATCCATCCATTTGTGTTTTTTCCTCAATTAAAGTAGAGCACGTACCTAATACAAAAGTTTACAATAAAAACATAAGGTCCACCAAGATTTGGTATAATCTTACTACTTGAACTTATCATAGTCAAGGCATTATTATTGTTTGTACTAAATTTTTTGAGATCTGTCAGTGTCAGAAGTAAACATTTCTCGCATGCATTAATTTGATCTGACATTAGGCAACTTTATTTTACCATCGTGACAACACAATGTGCTTCGTATATTTTTTCACTTCCAAAGTAAGTTGCATAGCAGAACAAATATTATTCACCTCACCAAGTGAATGTGTATTTTATGGATGTGTATCTGTTAAACCAGGCCTCTCTTTCTCTACTCTCCTTATACGCATAAGATACCTTATTATTAATTGTCTCCTCCTCCCGTTTTCAATAAAACTGATTAACTGTTTAACTGACTTGGTCTTAACCTACTGAATATTAAAACATCAATATTTACTCCCAAAAAGCTAATGGGTTTCTTTTTATAAACAGCTGTTTTTGTTTTTAAATTTGTTCTATGTATTTCTTATGAGAAAAACCCAACCTTTGAGAGGGTCTTACGCCCTTAAGAGTAAACATTTTAAAGTTCTAAAACCTTATTGCAAAACTACGTATTGAGACGAATCTTTTGACACCTTAAACGTTGAAATTGGTCCACAAATAAGGGAGGAGTTGCGTTAACAAAATACGGCTTCACGTATTATATATATAGATTTTTTATTTGTGAATTCATTTACTGACAATAAATTAATAAAGAAAACCTAAATTCAACATCTTCTTGAGATTTACCTGCAAGCTAAACTCAAAAAAGTAGTTCCTTGATAAAATTACTAACAGAATACAATGATTAACTGCGGAAAATAAATAGGTACCGGTAGCCTATTTACATTTTTTAAAGTTCCAACAAAAATTCCTGTTCAAACCAGAGTACACAATTTACACACACACTAGTGAAAGTGCAAGCAAACGCACTGAAATAAATGTTGAGTTTAACTAAAGGATTTTTATAGAGCCGAACGTAAAATAAGACTGCAAATACCGAGAAACACAGTTTATTGAACTAGAGTGATGTGAACAATTTGCAATGATAAAGGTTGATAGTAAAATGAATGAATACTGTACTATAGGTATAAAATGTACTAGAATTGTTAGAACGAAGTGAAATTTTAGATAAGTAAAATTAACAAATTACTACCCACTAGACGGTCGACTATTGGTGCACAACTGAGCCATTCACACCCCGATAATCCTGGTACAGTATAACTAACTTAACTCAACCCCTTTCTAAGTTTCAAAGGGAGAATAAATGTATAGGTCAAACCAGGTTTAAAGTGTTAATTTTAATTGTTCAGCGTCATTATTTTACCTATGATTTTGTTTAGTACTGTACACCTTATAGATTATACTATTCCTCACACATTTTGAGACAGTGACGCACATTTTAAGCTGAATGTGAATCCAAGGTTAGTGTAGAATAGAGGGAAGATGATCCTTGTTGCTTTGTTGACGGCAGATAGGCTGGTTCTTTAATCAAGGCCATATTTTAGCACATTTTTGATACAGTAGACTCCCTCTTATCCGGACTGGCTTCGGTCCCGAGGACTGCGGATAAGAGGGAGTCTACTGTACATCAAAGAGCTACTGCCTATTTTCAGGAATATGTCTGATTGGATTTTCACTTACCTGTAAAAGTAATGTGCGTAAGGCAAAATATTCTCAACTCTCTGGGTGATATCATTGTAGTCGTCCTCGGACCACAACTCTTGCAGACAAACAACATCAAACCTCCCTGAAGCTAGTGTTTCTGCGATGGCCCTCATTCGCTCCACTCGGTCTTTAGAGATTCCCACGATGCCCCTAAAGTGTGCCATTTCTGATACTATTTGTATACTTATAGTTTTATAAAGTAATTTGTAGAACCTTCGACTATATAGATTCTCAAGGAAAGACCACCAGGATTCCTTTGATGAGTCAGTTTAAATTTAAATAAAAAAAAAACTATTGTTAACTTGACCCTTTGACAGAGTGTACTGATATAAATTAAATTAACATGTCCTTCCTTATATATATACAAACTTTTTAACCATTCCAAACTGAAATGAAGACTTGTTGCAAACATTTGGTCCCCACGGGCTATCGTAGGGCCTAGTGTAAAAAACTAAAAGAGAAAATGGAACTTATATACCAGTATACCCTATAAAAAGGCTCATTTAACAATATTCACTTTGAGTAAAACTAGTCCATATAGATAGGATACTTTAGTATCACAAGGCAATGAGGGAATGTTCCTTGGTCTTTCTACCAAGTGATATAGGACTTGCTCTTTGAGATGTAAGCCTAATGCTCTCTTCAACAATCAGCAAGTTTATTTTAAACAAAGTTGTAAATTAGACTTACTTTTATTTGGCTTGTACTTCAGATAGTTTGCAAGGCTATCTGTATAATGACTTGCACTCTCAAACAGCTTTGTTTGTAGCTACAAACAAGACACTACATGTTTACTGTTTTTAATAACTCAGATTGCTTTTACTTTTAATAGGAATCGTTTCCCTTCTTCCACTGTCATGAGTAGTAAAAAGTATTTTTAAATTCAATGAAACTAGTTTTGCCAGGTTATGATAAAATTTTATATTTTCACTGTTTATTTAGCCATTCCAACTATAATTATCTACTTAAATGGAGCACTTACATAATTCAATTTGCTCAACCTCTTTGTTCACACTAGGATATTGCAGCTAATTCATTCACAATCAATTGGTAGTATTGGGTCAATTTGATAAAATAGGCAACAACTTTATATGTTAAATTGAATATAAAAAAAGGGTACTTTGGTATTATCTAGAGGCCACCCTTATACAGTGCCCTGCAGCGGTTATTTTAGGTTGGGTTATTATAAATATTATGTTTGTAGGACTTTCCTCGATTCATAATGAATCAAATGATACCAGATGAGTCAAACTTTCGCCTGCCAAATCCCCTCCAAGTAGGCCAAGGTCAGCGTATTACCTGTCACCGCCTGTATCTGGGTCAATGTCCTGAGTGATGAATCATTTGGTATCATTTGATTCATAACGAAATGAGGAAAGTCCTACAAACATATTTATGACAACCAAACCTAACATAACTGCCGCAGCGCGCTGTATACCTTCTTGGCAGAGTTCATATGGCAGCTAGAGGCGATGACACATTCAACTCAATCCTCGCCAACATCACTACCTTCTGGGAGGCAGAACTCAACGGCCGCTAATTGTAATCATGTCAAATTTGTACAGTAGGTCAATTAAAGTATGTTCTTTCCAATTATGTAGTTGTTTTTGGTCTCCGGTAAAAAAATCCCTCTAAAATAAGTGGCCTCTGGATGGTACCAAAGTGTCAAAAAAAGATTCATCAAACACAATTCACCAAATGGCCTTAAATACAAAACAGTAAAAGATGTAGATAAAAAAGTAGGCCTATTGGTTTTCAAAAATAATATCGTTGACTAGGCCTACCTATATAATGTTCCTAATCTCAGAAATACCCACTCTTAATCGATTTTAATGTTTACAAGCTAAAGACCATTTTTATATTTCAACTTTTTTGGGCAATTTTTAATCCCACCTAGCATAAAGAAAGTACCCAGTGCAGATAACACGAACCAAGCACTGCAAAAACAATTAACAATGTGAAACCAAATCCTACTTTGCTGCATTATTGTAACGTATTATTTGGACTCATGACTATTTTACAATAATAGCCAATACAGATGATGATCTAGCAGAGTTCAGCGAAGTAACTTTATCTAGATGATTTCTGAGGTAAATTCCAAATACAGTGCGTTACTGGTCTTTTTAAACAAATAATAATAAATGCATCAAGTAATTGTAATAAAAACTTTACTGACATCTGTAAACAAGGCTTTCATTCATTTGCTATTACCTGCTCTATATGTAGCCTAATTTAATCATATAAAATTGAATGGTTTTAAAGGCTGGAAAAGAAGTAAACCTACCTTTACCGAGTCACGCATTAAGTTAAACTAACTCATAAGAGACAACTGGATTTATAGGCTATGATATATCATAGTGACAAGAAAATGTCATCCATTAAAAACAAGGGAACTGTTAACCATCAAAATTTGATATGCTTTGTCTGGATATTTAAAACAAATACAATAGAGAGTCCCCACTCGCAAAAAACCTTAAGGTAACTGCTAATCTATCTTTCACAATAAATGGTTCACGACAAAAACTATTCTATTTTGAAATTTCAGGAACTATTACATTTACCAACAATTCAAAATCATAGTTCGACATCCGAGTAAATTGCAGAATAGGCAACCAGCTACTTTGAAGTTCGTCATATTTTGTTCGTCAAACAGCTTAAAACATTTTTAAGCGTTCAGCGGACATTTTTTCCTAGTTCAACGTACAAGCGTACATGTTCAGTCGCGAATGTTCGCCAAGTGTGGACGCAGTAGGACCTATACAATATTTTCTATTTTTTGCTTTATGAGTTTTATAAGGAAGCATAAATTGTAAAAGGCCTAACTATTTGTCCTCCTATTGAAAGCAAAATTGAAAAAAGAATATTAAAAACCTAAATATCATGATTTGTAATTTAGGTTTAGGGGTCAATCCATATGAAATCAACCAATGACTGTTGCTGACTAATTTTTTTTATTTTTTATTTTTTTACCCAAGATTGTACTATGTTCAGACAGTTGAAAACTGTTAGTCATAAATTTTTTTTATGTTCAGTTTTTTTTTTGGCAGCCATTGTGTTCGGTTGCGACAGCCGATTTTGCGTTTTGCAAAGGTTTGCGTTTAAGTCTATATCTCATTCATTTTCAAAGATATTCAGTTATAACAAAAACCATCTTAAAGAGCATTAAATTTACTATATTTTAAGCTTAATTAATACTTACATCTACTTAATAGTGAATTTAAAAAAAAATTTAAACGTTAACGTTTTGGGAAGATAAATTCTCATTTTTGAAGTTAAAAATTTTAAAGAAGGAATTAAAACTCACCTTTAAATATTTTTTCAGATGTAGTCCTTATATAGCAGTACTTCTCCAAACAGTTTTAGCTTTGAATGTATCATCCTTTTTTTTATATGATTTTTCAAAAATTGCAATTTGTCGAAAATCAACCATTTTCAATCTGAAATATCTCAAAAGGGACACATACAAAAAATCTAAAATTCTCACAAAGTACTCTTTACTTAGGTGGTAGTAAATGGTTTAAATTGCATCATTGAGACTTTATTAGTTTTTAAGTTACAAATTTTTTTAAATAGTGTTTTATTCAATGTCGCAAACACGAAGACTCTTACCAATTGAAAATAAATAATAAAGACACATTGTTATTTTAACTTTAACTGTACATATTTCCTAACTTGCTGATTTCCTATAAAAATTGTCAATAGGTTGCTGTTATTGGCACTTGGTGCTCTTAACAAATTGTTGTATAAATTTGACTGATCGCTGTACAAAGTTTTTCACTAATGTTGAAACTCCGACCTGTGGCAGTTGTAAATTCTGTTGGCGACAGTTTTCTTAGTACCATGCTGATGGGCACCCACACCTTGTCATCTTTTGAGGCTTTAAAAGAGGTTCTCGGACCATGTGGATGAAAAAAGTGAATACAGAGATCCATTATGTTCTTCGGATGTGTCTACGACTCTCCCGATCCACCATTTATCGTCATAAACACAAGCTATAGTATCATTTATTTAAAATGAAAATGCATTGCAGTCTGGAATAAGAGAAGTTCAGCAAGTAGTAAAGCGTTCTGATTTTGAGTTACCTACTTGTAGCATTTTATCTCTGCTTGACTTAGAGGTACAAATCGATGATACACCCTTGTCTACGGTACTTTTACACAGTAGTCAAATATCTTTTGTATTTTTGTGCTGTTTGTTTCAATTTCTTCTGATGTTACAAAAATAAAATGTATGCCTGATATATTATCAAGGCAAAACTTGTACATTTCTTCAGCTGTTAAAATTTGATTGTTATGAGGACGTTTTAAACTGGCCTGAGTTACAGCTCTCTTTGTGGTACCACCAATTCCGTCACAGGCATTTTTGCCATGTCAGGAGGCAAAAAAGTTCCACTCACATTCAATATCAAAATCAGTCTTATGCAGTGCCGGATTTAGGGTACTTGAGGCCCTAGGCCAAATTACTTGAGCGGCCCTCCCCCTCCCCCTGTGGTGGAAATTCCTTGCAATCGCGGAAATAATCGTGAATATCTCTTATGCATCGAGGGGACATCATCATTGACACCCGTGATCGTGGATGAAATCGTGGACATCTCTCCTAAATCAAGTCAAAGCAATCATAGGTATACGAGAGCGTGGCAAAATCATGAACATCCCCACGGGCTGCAACAAAGGGACATTATCACCGTCACCCGCGACCGCAGTAAAATCGTTAAGGGGATACGCCACTATCTCCAACTTTATTTTTATTTTTTAATTTTTGTCAACCTAATTAGTATATTTTGTTTATACTCGACTTATTTAGAAGATTTAGGTCCAAAAAATTGAATTTATGACTTATTTACTAAATGTATATGCGGTTTTAGTTTTTTTCACCCAAATTTTTAGGGATTCGGTATTGAGAATAACTTTTTAACTACTGAACTGAATGACATATTCTATTTATTTCCTGATTCAGGATTAAATAATGAGTCATTCTGTGTATAATCGTTATGGTAACTAACAAAACAAGATTTTTAGGACACTTTATTCAAAATATAAAAAAAGCTAAAAAAATTTAAAAATTAAGCGTAAACATAAATAGTTTTAGTAAATGTAATGCTATAGGGGTTTTTATACACACAATCCCTTATTACTTTATAAAGAAGGTCTGGTGAAAATTTGAATACTATAAGTATAGTACTAACGGAGTTATTCTAACTTTTTTACAATAACAACCTAAAAAACACGGTATTGAAATAATCGCAGGTGATTGGCAGAACTAAAATCCCCATGACAACACTAGTTTATTATTTTATATTATATATAAAAATACCAAAGTACTTATTTTGTTTTAAATAAATGTACCCTACTTTAAACCTTCATAATACATAATTATGATACAAAATCAAAAATGTAAATATCAGGAACAAAAAAAATAAATAGTCAAAGTTTTTTTCAAATTACTGGTTGCGGCGTTTTATATTTTATTTATTTTATACTAGGAGTTGTCAGATTGGAAACATTTTTTAGGTAAATGTTCACAACTAAATAACCTATCTAAAAATGCAACTTTTGGAAAATGTAAAATAAATAAAAAATATGGCCCAGAGATAGTGGCGTATCCCCTTAACATCTCCCGTGGCCCGCAATCACAGGGACATCATCATCAACACCCACGGCTGCGGCAAAATCGTTAACATCTCCTGCATGCCGCAATCACGGGGACATCATCATCGACACCCACGGCCGCGGCAAAATCGTGAACATCTCCCGCGGGCCGCAATCACAGGGACATCATCATCGACACCCACGGCCGCGGCAAAATCGTGAACATCTTCTGTGGGCCGCAATCACAGGGACATCATCATCGACACCCACGGCCGCGGCAAAATCGTGAACATCTTCTGTGGGCCGCAATCATGGAAACATTATTATGGTCACCTGTGATCGCGGCAAACTAATGGTTAAAAAAATTATTTGTTTATCTAAAAAAATTGTTGTGCAATCTTCTGCGGCCCCCTCTTGCTTGCGGCCCTAGGCCGCGGCCTAATCGGCCTAGTGGTAAATCCGGCACTGGTCTTATGGTGGCAAATGTTACTGAAGAAGTTCTTTCGGTTCTTGTACTTCTCTTATTCCAGATTGCAATGCATTTTCATTTTAAATAAATGATACTATAGCTTGTGTTTATGACGATAAATGGTGGATCGGGAGAGTCGTAGACACATCCGAAGAACATAATGGATCTCTGTATTCACTTTTTTCATCCACATGGTCCGAGAACCTCTTTTAAAGCCACAAAAGATGACAAGGTGTGTGCCCATCAGCATGGTACTAAGACAACTGTCGCCAACAGAATTTACAACTGCCACATGTCGGAGTTTCAACATTAGTGAAAAACTTTGTACAGCGATCAGTCAAATTTATACAACAATTTGTTAAGAGCACCAAGTGACAATAACAGCAACCTATTGACAATTTGTATAGGAAATAAGCAAGTTAGGAAATATGTACAGTTAAAGTTAAAATAACAATGTGTCTTTATTATTTATTTTCAATTGGTAAGAGTCTTTGTGTTTGCGACATTGAATAAAACGCTATTTAAAAAAATTTGTAACTTAAAAACTAATAAAGTCTCAATGATGCAATTTAAACCACTTACTACCACCTAAGTAAAGAGTACTTTGTGAGAATTTTAGATTTTTTGTATGTGTCCCTTTTGAGATATTTCAGGTTGAAAATGGTTGATTTTCGACAAATTGCAATTTTTGAAAAATCATATAAAAAAAAGGATGATACATTCAAAGCTTAAACTTTTTGGAGAAGTACTGCTATATAAGGACTACATCTGAAAAAATATTTAAAGGTGAGTTTTAATTCCTTCTTTAAAATTTTTAACTTCAAAAATGAGAATTTATTTTCCCAAAACGTTAACGTTTAAAATTTTTTTTTAATTCACTATTAAGTAGATGTAAGTATTAATTAAGCTTAAAATATAGTAAATTTAATGCTCTTTAAGATGGTTTTTGTTATAACTGAATATCTTTGAAAATGAATGAGATACAGACTTAAACGCAAACCTTTGCAAAACGCAAAATCGGCTGTCGCGACCAAACAAAATGGCTGCCAAAAAAAAAACTGAACATAAAAAAAATTAATGACTAACAGTTTTCAACTCTCTGAACATAGTACAATCTTGGGTAAAAAAATAAAAAATAATAAAAATTAGTCAGCAACCATTTTAATTTTAATTGGTTGATTTGATAAGGGATTGACCCTTAGGTTCTGAGTTTTTTAACATCGACTTCTGCAAGCACTCCTATAAATGGGCACAATTATATCAATTGATATAATAAACTTATCAATTAACTTATACTTACTAAACTTTAACGAGGTTATCACATATTTGGGTTAACACAAATTTTGGATTCTTGGATTTAAACCAACAATAACCAAAGACACTATGTTACCAGTATCTAAGTCTTCTGAATCCTTATTAAGTAATAAGTTTAATTTAGGCCTAGAAAGCAGTTTAACAGTGCACTACGTGACGATAAAAATAATGTACACCTACATACCAGCAGTTCAGTGTAAGGACTGTAAGTGTGAACTCTGAGACAGTAGATGCTCGATTTAGCTCCATCACTGAGGAGGATTGGGAACTAAAACACAAAAAAATATACTCAATGTTTAAAGTTTTTATTTAAAATAAGATTTTTTTTAACATTACACAAATGAAAATTCTCTTACTATTAGGTACATAATCAAATATGGAAACAACTCTGCTTTAATTAATCAAATCAATCTTTTTGCACATTTAGCTGATAGTTGCTTTTGTGGTCATAACAACAGGCTTTGGAAAGAGATATGTAATGGTCTCAAATTTAGTTTGAAAACAAAATTTACAAAATCAAAAAACCCTATCTAAATCTTGTCTCGGAATTATTAAGTATGATTTATTGAACCAAGAGTACTTAACCTACGGTACACATGAATAATAAACACAGTAATTTTACACTTTTTATAACATTGATCATAAAAAAATAAATAGGCTAAGGCAAATAATTTTTCAAAAAATGGGCCACTCTGTATACAAAAGCATAATTAATCTGACATTACAATAGAGTAAGGCCTATACTCAAAATTTATTACCTTAACTCAAAAGTTAAGAACCATGGTACCGTACCAGTACAGTACCGGTATTTGAACATAACTTATAGCCTAAGAATTGAAATGAGTGCCACAGCTTCAAATGTTTGCTAACAGTAACTTTAGAGACAAATCATAATATAATATAGCCTCCAAGTAACTGATATTGATGTCGTTCATAATACCTATCTCTGGAATTGAACAGTGAAAATAGTCAGTGCTACTAAATCGTCAAAGTTACTTTTATCAAAAGGCTATCAATAAATAAAAAAATATAAAACCAAAACATTAAGTTAAGTTTAATAAATGGAGCTAAGCAAAGCAAGTTTGAACTAAGTTTAATCAAGGGGATCAGGCTCAATTTTACGTTAAAAACATAATTGGAAAATTACTTTTAAACTTTGTTATGTGTAGCCTAGATCATATTAGGCCTACCTAGTCATAGCAAAACTGTTTAAACCTTTCTACAATAGACTTATAGGCCTACACCAATTTTCAAGGGGAACCAGAGCGACTATGACGACGAGGAGGTGGAGATCCAGAACGGCTACGATAACGGCTTACGGAGCGACTTCCTGGAGAACGGCTTCCTTTGCGCCCAGAAGAATGACTCCTACGTTTTCTAACTGGGGATCTACTCAGTTTTCTTGGTGATCTAGACTTGTGCCGTATGGGAGATCTTGATGGGGAACGACTAATACGTCTACGGCCAGGGGATAAGCTTGTGCTCCTTCGCCTTGGACTACCACTATCTCCTCGAGAACGAGATCTTGACCTACCAATTTTCTTGTCAGGAGTTCTTGAAACGGATTTAGCTTTTTTGGAGTCAGAATCAAGTTTGTCACTATCAGAATCTTTAGGTTCTGATTTTATACTGGCTTTAGAAGAACGTTCACTAATCTTATCTAGGTTTGTCTTATCTTCACTCTTCCTTTCTTTATCTTTTTTCTTATCCTTGTCTTTGGATTTTCTGGGAGACTTGGATCTGTCCTTTCGCGATCTTGACTTTGATTTGGACCTAGATCTCCTTCTAGACCTGGATCTCTTTGAGCGCTTACTTTTGGAGCGAGATCTAGAGCGACTCCTCTTCCGATCTCTTGACCTGCGCTTTTTGTCTCGTGATCGAGACCTTCTTGAACGAGAGATTTTAGATCTTGACCTTGATCTTCTAGATTTTGATCTTGATCTTCGGTGATGTCTAGACCGATGGCGGGATCGTGATCGAGATCGGCGATGGCGTCTTCCTCGGGATCTTGATCGTGATCTTCTAGTCTTGGATCCACTTCGACTACGCTTCTTGTCCTTGGAAAGGATTCCAATAACAGGATCAATTGCAGCTGATATCAAACTTTGAGCTTCCTTTACCCTTGTCATAGCCTCTTCAATTTCTCTTTGAGCTGCTTCATTGCTTTTGGCCATTGGTTTTGCAATTGCTTGAGTTGCATGGTATACTTGTATCATTTTTCCAGCCAGTTCAGTTCCATTCATTTTCAAGCCAGGAATTATGCTGCTTTGTTCAGAGAATTCAAGCAGAGCATACCGGTTACTGTCATTGTCCCTGGTACAGAAGCGCACATATTTAACATCCCCAGCAGTGCTAAAAAAATCGATCAGCTGCTGCGCTGAAATAGAGTTATCAATGTTTATCACCAAAAGTGTTCTTCGTATTTCTTCTATCCTACGAGCATCATATGTAACTGGGAGTGGAGGATAAGGGGGCAAACCATTAGAAGCTAAAAGGGGATCATGAGTTGTTATCACCTGATTTGGAGGCATACCTTCAATCTGATTTGTAACATGAGGGGGAAGTTTGGGGTCAGCCGCATAGAGCCCAGGAATAATATTGGTTTGAGCAGCAATATCAAGGGCTCTATATTCATCTGGGATCTCCCCTGCAGAGTAAGGAGTAACTATCAGAGCTCTGTCAATGAAGACTGTGTTGGTCATGTGTTGGGCAACACCAACACAATTAGGATCAAAAAACTTAACATAACAAATTCTTGATTGAACTGGGACTGACACATCTCTTATGGTGGGATATAATCTAATATCTTCAATCTTCCCAAGAAACCCAAATAATGTTTGCATCTGATCTTTAGTTGCTTGAGGTGCAATATTTGTGATTTGCACAACCTTTGTGCCGCTATTTGCCGGCGCTGTATCTGATTGATTTTGTGCAGTCATGATTGGTTAGTTTAGTAACCTACTTAAAACTAATGACTTACTATAAAAATCAAAGAACTATCATCACTTCGTCGAACTAATTAACACCAGAAACGTTCAACAGTCCGCTACACATTCACAACGAAACGTCAACGCACATTATTAGCACACTGTGATCGCACACATCACGAGAACCCAAGATGGCGTCAACATCAACCAAAGTAAAAACTCAACTCACCACAACCACATCCCCCTCAATCCAATCGTTACTCCTCTCAATGCGCGTGCGCGCGCGTAAAAACTGTTCCGTGGAGCTGTGGGGACCATCGATCTCTATTACTACTAGGGATCGATGGTAGGGACAAGCGTTCAATCACGGCCACCTTTTATAGTGGTATGTTTTCTGGGCTTTAAGGCGGCCGTGGTTCAATAGTATGTCATACCGTGATACCATGTGATACTTAACGTAGGTACTGAGAACTATAACCGCTTCTTCACAAGTTTCCTTCTGTTTGCCTGTCCCTCCCTAGGAGGATGATTGAATTATACATAAATTTAATGTTAAATCCAATCAAGTTTTGACGACTTGTGCTTGTGTATCGTAGACGGTATGGTATAGTCAATATAAACAAACGCCGTTTGTGCAGCCTCAGCCTCAGTTAAAAATGATAAGTTGTGACGGGGAGGACGGAGGACTTGAGTTGAGATGAGATCCCGAGATCATAATGTACCTTACTAAAACAGTATGTTTTATCTATGCTAAAACTAAAACGACGGAAGAACAAGAAAGTGACTGTCATGTCCTGTGTCCTATTCGACTTATTCAATCCATTGTAAACGTTGCAACAGGCAAACCTAATATTTATCGCAGTTCCACTGAGCTGTTTATTCGCGCATGCGCATCATGAGAGGAGTAATCTCCGATTGAGACGGATGTCAAAACTCAACTGAAACAAAACTAAATGGATGGAGTTGGAAAGGAGTTTTTGTTTTTATCATAGAGATTAGCGTCGTTGCAATTGTGCTTCAGCGTGGGGTCTCAGATGGTTGATATCCCACAAGGTCAACATCCCTTGGCGTCGACAAGCCTTGAGTTTTTCTCCATTTCATAGATCTGTCACGATATGTATACTATCGAATTCGTAATAGTATTGACTATATAAACTTTAACACTAGTGTTTATATAGTCAATGGTAATAGGCTACTGGTGCTGCCACTGATTGCTGATTGATTCCTGTGTACAGTCAGTGTCTAGCAGACAATTTGACAACTAACTATGAGTATGAAACATCAGGAAATCAGCTGTTTCCCGTCCTCGCTCGCGTACTCGGTGCTCGCCTTTGCCCTAGCATGTCGATTGTATACAGCTGACTGCTGAAAAATTGGATGATGCGTACAACTTTCCATGGCGTAATAATATTGTTTTATTCGTTGTGCTATTGTCCACAAAGTTTACATATGTGGAACTTACTACTCCTACTATCGCTTATTTAAGACTACGATAGTTTAAGATTAGTAACACCAGACGAACAACTATTGGAAGCGTGTCCCCCATAGTGACAGTGCGAGTGGTCGCCCCACAACCCTAACTAAAAACTGAAAGGCCGTGGGTGAAAGACAAGACAAAAGGTGAACAAAGCCTATAATTATTTAAAATAATCAACAAATAACAAACAATCAAACTTTCAGCAATCCAAAGAATTAAACTATCAAAAACTACCTATTTCAAAAAAAATTAAATAAGAACTAGTGTACCTGTTGCTCGAATTCGAGAAAATGCTAAGAATTACGGGTGTTATTTTAAAACGAATAACAGTCATAATTTCTGATGACTTTGAAATATACGACTCAAACATTATGGAACATAAACATAAAACACTCTGCTCCCAACGCAGTTGCCACTCATCTAATATCTCCTCTATTCTGTTTCCGATGTAGTCCTACCCACCTCCGTGTCTTCCAAAATCAACAGCTTATGCAGTATCTTTGACTATTAATACAACAACTAGACATTCCATCCACGGCCATCTCTAACTACAGGCCGCGGCCAGGTAGAATTGACAACGTCGCAAGTGGTGTTGTCTAGCGCCAGACGTCCCATAAGATAACATGGCATACAGGTGACACCAGGGGCCCATTTCATAATAAAGTACAAACTAATATTATTACAAGTTACAAGTTGTAACTTGTAACTTGTAATTTACATTAGATTTGCATTGGGCGATCAGCTGCAGGGGGCCATTTCATAATAAACTACAAGTTACAACTTGTAACTTGTAATTTACATTAGATTTGCATTGGGCGATCAGCTGATTTACTAATAGTAATAATATTAGTTTGTACTTTATTATGAAATGGGCCCCTGCTCATTATTTCGCGTTTTATTCATTAAAATGAAAATTTATGAACATAAATTTATTGAAAGATTGAAAATAAGACATATAGGATTGAAAACAAAAACAATATTTAAAGAGAAAATTAATTTTTGTACTTTTAAAGTGGAGTCAATATTGTCATAGTCCAGTAACCAAGCTTTCGTAAATACACAATTACCATTAGCTGGTGCCAAAATAAACAGCTGTTACAACACCACTTGCGACGTTGCCAGTTCGAAGGCCACGGCCTGGAGTTAAAGGCGGCCTTGTTCCATCCCCATGTCAAAGTTGTAACCAGGTTTTTAGTAAAATTTTTCTTAGTTGATGTGAGCCACCTACAGATTGCGCTGATCTAAATTACTGATTTCTGCCGATTACATGATGGTTTTTACCAAGTCAAACTGATAGAATGACCTATTATGAGCTATAGCAAGTGTTGTGACCCAGCAACTATGTCAGTAACGAAAAATAAGGTACAAAATAGAGTTTTAGACACTAGCGCAATCTGTGACTGGCTTACACAACTACATTCTTTTTTAGTAAAAAATTGTTCTTCTGTATCCAATAGTCAATGGCAGTATGCAGCGATTGTCCAACAGTCCTAAATAGAATGTGAAATCTTGATGCGGCTGTTGGAGAGCACACAAACGCAACACGGAAGGGTGCTTGCTGTATTCGGCCATCAACGACACTGTATTTGTACCTATTTCGTTCGCGTCTACCAATTGTCGAACTTTTTGTGGCTATGTTTTGATTTTTTGCAAAATTTTAGTATAACCAGCTGTTTCAAATATTAGTGTCAAATTCAAAAGTACAGTATTCATCTATTCAAATGTAAACAAACATTTTCTCCCTAAGAATAACATGGAAACTTTGATGGCCACTGGGGCAGAGCCCTGATGGAATTCCAAAGTTTTTTTGTTTGGTGGCAAAACTACATGCTAAGACCTTTCTATCGACACTTTGGACATGGTGATCGGTAGCACCACCACTCCAAAACAATTATGACAAAAATATGCCTAGCGTATATTAAATATATAGATGAATTTTTAGTCTACCCTTCTGAACTTACAAACTGGTACCAGTAACTGAAAAAAATTAGGCCTAACAAAAAGATTTTAAGGATGGTTACTGATCAGTTTTAAACTTTAAATAGATTAACAATAAATAAATAATAAATACTATAAAGATAAATAACGGTTTAATAAATATTTTGATAAATAGCTATAGTGATAAATCATTTTTGGGGCCCCATTAAATAGCAGTCTTGTTTTTAAATGTTCAATAGTCAAATTCAAATCAACTTGCGGCACAAATAATGTACGTTAAAATAATATACAGTATAATCATTGGTACCATGTTACCGGTAGTTAAACGGGGATTTTTGTAGAGTTTGACGGTTGGATGGAGGAGGAGTTGGGGATTTTCTTTAGATTTTTATGGCTTGGGGGATAATTGGAGGATTTTTGATTTAGCTGGGGCCCTGGGGATAAAATGGGGATTTTTCCTCATCAGCACATTTAATATGGAGTGAATAAAATAAATGTATGTGAGTGAAAATTTAAAAACGTACGTTTTCAGGAAAAGCACTTTGCAAATTCTTTTCCCCTTTTTTCAAAACTTTTATTATGATTTTTATTTCATTAACATTTGAAGTTTCATAAAATGTCCATGGTAACGCAATATCTTTGGTAGTTTCTTTTTAAAAGAGCATCTTTAGTGGAAAAACACAAAATCCTGTCACGACCATAACGGACGTTTAAATGAATATTAAAAATAGTTAATATTATTTTTATAACTATGTTTTGCTATAAACTTATTTACTTTTATGACCATTATACAATAAAAAGGTCACTGAGCTTTTGGTATATTTGGTCTTTCTAGAAAAAAATAAAAACTCAAAAAATTGAAAAAAAGCCAATAAAATCTTTTTAAGTTTGTATAAATCCGAAAAAACTTACTTGAGACCCGAAAAATTGTTATGTTTAATAGAGGTGTGCTTCTTTTGTGTATAAAACATTGAAATATGACGAGATTTTAATTTTTAAAATTTTTATGGTAGAAATCATAAACGTGATGGTCAGGGACAAGCGGTACGGTCGTGAATTGTCTGGAATAATCTAAATCTTTCTAAATAATCCTTCAATTATCCTGTTAGTTATAATACAAATATGTGTTTCAATTGAACTAAACTGTTCAATTTACAATTATATTAAAGTTATTGTCACGACCAAACACACTGTAATCCATAAGGCTGGATTGGTCGTGAAAAAACCCGCGATGGTCGTGAAACTTTGGTCGTGAAATTACGTGTTATTTGGCTCTGTTCTGGCGGTAGCCCTGCACCTCATGTTCGAGGATACAAAGTGGACTTCTAGGCTAATCTAGCAATTAAAATATCTTATAAACAAAAATTAACACCATGTCTACTTCATCGAATGACTACGTACGGTCATGGACACACCAAAATTACTAAAAACACAATCTTTCCTTTATTAATCTTGTAATTCCTCCTTTCAACTCGAAACGACCGGCACTACAATCCTGACATACACCCCGACCGGCCCGAACTAGTCTCTAAAACCAACTGACTCCATCGACGCCAGGATTGCCACTGTCGTGCTCCAAAGTTTTTCCCAAATGGTCGTGATGCCAAATCGAGGGACAGACTTATTTTGTCATGGTAGTCAGTTTTTAATGACAATAAAATTATAATATGCTTCTTTTTTGTAAGTTTAATAACCATTGATGACATAAAAATATGGCTTTATATATTTCGGCATGAATAATTAGTCTAAAAACAGCGTGAAAGTTGGAAAATGCACCCTAGGGACACGTCATGGTCGTGAATTTCGAGACTTTAAAAATACGAAAAAAATACCTAGAACCTATTTAAAACCAAATAAATGTGTGTAACATGTTGCCCCCGTCCCAAAAAATATTAAAACACATAATAATAAACTACAAATTTAATCACGAAGTAAAAGGCCAGGGACATGAAAACGTACGTTTTTAAATTTTCACTCATGTATGTCATAGTGTAATATATTCACGGAGAGTGAAATTTTACCCACACAATACGGCATAGATAGGTATGAATTTGGGATATTTGGTAGTTAAATGGGGATTTTTGTAGAATTAGGAGGATAGATAGATGGAGGAAAATTGGGGACTTTCTATAGATTTTTTTTTTGCTTTAGCTGGGAATAAAATGGGGATTTCTTCTTAGTCAGATGGGGAATTTTAACAGGTCCAGGGTGGCAACACTGTAAATGAGTAAGTAAATACAAAACAAACCTTAACCTATCTTTTTGTTCTTTTAATCTTTTGACTTTTGAGAGTTTTGTAATGAGGGAGGGTATTTTCAATCAAAATTTCTTGTACCTAAGACAACTATTCTATTGTAAACTTCCAAATCTCTCTTGATATTACGTATAAACCTGAATTTTGCGTAAATCCGCATAGCTAGGACTCAGGAGAAACAGAGGATTAACTTTTTTTTAACTTATTTGTATGATATGGTCCTGTTGAAAGCCTCTTTTAAAAGTTAATCCGTAGAATGCCTCTAAGCAAATTGGATAGGCTCTATAGGGCTATTTTGCTCTCCAAATACTTCGTTAAAGGTTGGGGTGATCCACATGGACTAAAGAGGTAAGTTATATTGTTCCCCATAACAGACTACCTATGCTACTTATTGTTTTAACTACTATATTTTCCAAATCGGTCCATAGGTTTAGGCTATAAAGAGCATCCTGAGAAGTGTCTGATTTGTTACTTGCAAGAGTATCAGATTTAGGGTTGCCATATGGTAATTTGTGAAAAAGAGGAGATTTTAGCTGGTGACCCCCACAAGGCCTACAGTAAGTAAAAATTTACGGGCTAGCAAAATTGTATACCTAACTTACATAGCACAAATACAACAGACGCGAATAGGACAAGGACTGGGAGCAATGAAAAAGACGATAAACTAAACACGTTACTACTGGCCAAAGTGAAACTGCTTAAGGAATAAAAACAACTTTAATAGAGAGTACAAGAGTTGCATTTTGCAGTCATTGCATAACAATATTTTGTGATACTAACATTTAATTTATTCCAAAAGTACCGTTATACAATGTATTTAATAGAGAGTTAAAAAGAGAAGATTTTTCACTTTTTCCAGAAATCCCCCCGGAGCTAAATTTTGAATGTCAAAATCCGGTAATCTCCGGAATATGGCAACCCTAATCAGATTTAGAATGTAAGCCTAGGCCTCTTTAACACATTGGGCGAGGTGAAAATATCAGTGGGTGCTTCCCCAGTGTCAGAAATTATTTATTTTTTCATAAAATCTTACCTTTTGTTACCAGAAGTGAGGATCCAGGTTGGAAATGGTATTTTGAGTATTTTCCCCCCGAAAAATGGCGTCCAAAATTGCCGGTCACCGGTGACTAGGTCGACCCGTGCGATGGCGTCTGATAGGTAGTAAAAATGTAAAACACAAACATTTTAAATTGCCACCCACCTCGATTCTGCCGGGACAGTCCCGATTTTGATTCCTTTTGCACGTAATATAAGCCTATGTCAATTCAGGGGGAGGGGGGGCAATAAACTTAAGGGGATACGCCACTATCTCCAACTTTTTTTTTATTATTTTATTTTTGTCAACCTAGTTAGTATATTTTGTTTATACTAGACTTAGTTAGAAGATTTAGGTACAAAAATATTGAATTTATAACTTATTTACTAAATTTATATGCGTTTTTAGTTTTTTTCACCAACATTTTTAAGAAGTCGTTATTGAGAATAACTTTTCAACTACTGATCGGAATGACATATTCTATTTATTTCCTGATTCAGGATGAAATAATGAGTATTTCTGTGTATAATCGTTATGGTAACTAAAAAAACAAAATTTTTAGGAAACCTTTTATTCAAAAAAATAAAAAAGCTGAAAAAAATATTTAAAATTTTTGCGTAAACATAAATATTTTTAGTAAATGTAATGCTATAGGGCTTACTATACACACAATCCTTTATTACTATATAAAGAAGGTCTGGTGAAAATTTGAATACTATAAGTATAGTACTAACGGAGTTATTCAAACTTTTGTACAATAATAACCTAAAAAACACGGTATTGAGATAATCGCAGGTGATGTAACAGGTGGTTGACAGGAGAAAAATTCCCATAACTACACTAACTTATTATTTTATACTATATATAAAAATAGCAAAGTACTTATTTTGTTTTAAATAAATGTACCCTACTTTATAACTCCATAATACATAATTATGATACACAATTAAAAGTGTACATATCAGGAACAAAAAAAAAAATAGTTCAAAATTTTGTTAAATTGCTGGTTGCGGCGTTTTATATTTTATTTTTTTTATACTAGAAGGAGTTGTCAGATTGGCAAACAATTTTAGCTAAATGTTCACATTTAAATGACCTATCTAAAAATGCAACTTTTGGAAAATGTAAAAAAATATAAAATATGGCCTACAGATAGTGGCGTATCCCCTTAAGTAGGCTAGTCTATATTTTATAATAGGCCTATCCTTCCTCCCTCCCAGCCATTGTTTTTTTACACTCAAACTAAGTTAGGCTACATCAGAGTTTCTGATGTGGAAAAGTCCATTTTTATTTAGAGTCACTAATAGCCTAAACAATACCGTTGTGTCATTTATAGGCTAACAGTAAAAAAAAAAAAAAAAAAAAGCACAAAAGAAGCATTGAGGTGCAGTTATTAAATTTGTAAGTAGGAATTACAGGTGACCGGCGTCGACAGGGTTGCCACCTTACGTTAGGGAAAAATCGGTACATTGCCCCCTGGCTTCACAATGCCTGATTCATTTCAGCAGGACTTGGCCGAGCACCGTTGACTGGGCCGGCCTGCGTGCAAGTTTCGCGGCCGGTCCTCGGTGACAGGCCTGCGCTCAACGTGTTAAATGTTTGTTTTAGGCTAGTAATAGATATTTTATCGTCTACAGGTACCATCGGTAAGCCTACATTCGTTTTCTATCTGTCGGCTAAGTTACATGATTTTTAGTAACAATGGCCTACTTTAGGGTCTCCAAACTAATTGAAAAAATATTTTTTTCTCCATTATTTGGCCTGTTTTGCACACTTTTCCCTCTGGCACTTTTGGGGCGAACATATTTCACCCTCAAAGCAGCAAAAAGCGCTGAAAATTGATGGAAAAAAGTTTTCTTCCGTTTACCTTACAATGTTTTGTTCTCATCTATCTTCTATAATACACTAAGATTTTTGTAAACAGAACTCCCTCATTTTTGGACCGATTTTGATGATTAAAGTGTCCAAAAAAAGGCCCTGATCTGTAGTTTTGCAAAGTGTTTTTCATTTTTTGAAATCTTTTTTAGTTTGGACAGGATCTTCCATCAAAGTTTTCTCCCATAGATTAACATGGGGGAATCTAAAAATTTTATTGTAAACTTTGTCTCCACTAATTTGAGAGAACGGCTGGGCGTAGAAACTTGGTAGAGGTGTCCAAAGAAAGGTCTCGGTCTGTAGATGAGCCATCAAAAGAAAAACAATGTAAATTCCCTTAGGGCTCTGCCCCAGAAGCCTTTAACGTTCCCTTCCCAGATTTGTTTACATTTTCGTCATATGTATAATTTTTACTACTTTTTAATGAAACCGCTGTTAATATTTAAATTGTATTTTAAACAAAACATATTATAGGGAGTCAGGGGTGCCCACAGAATGATTTGATAGCGCGGACTGCACTATAAAATTCAATTTTGGGGGGGAATTTGAGATTTAATGATGTTTTTTTTTAGATTTGGGGTGGGGGAATTAAAAAAATACAACTTTTTGTCAACAAATAAATATTTTTATAATGTATGGACATTAAAGACAAGCTGTGCTCACAATCAAGCTTAAATATAAAACATAACACAACTCGTCAGGTTTAGCATGGCCGGTGAGATGCGCTAGCACTGTACTGGCGGCAACCGAGTGGCGAGTGAGCTTGCTAGTGTAGCTTTGTTTACATCCCGATTCCCGCCGCCCGTGTTACGTGTATGTTGTACGCCAACCGGCAAACGGGTTATAGTTGTATGAAATATTTTATCAACTAATAAGTACTTTTAGTTATAGGACTCTTAGTAAGTTTCGTGATATTATTACAGATTTATTAGAGTATGTAGCCATACTAAGATTTTGTCAGCTTTAGTAATCATTTTAATTTAAAGGTGTGTTGATGGTGTGGTGATGTTATTGTGAAGTGGGTGTTCGTGGTTCAAATGGGGTTAGGCCTACTTCAACGCTACTGCAATTTTCAGAATTGTGAGTTATTATAATTTATTTTTGTAAAAAATACAACCGACTTCAAAACGCTCTAAAAAGAATGAAATAATATTAATAAAGTAAACTTTTATATTAGGCAAGCTCACGTATTTTAAGTCGGCGCGGCTCTATGATGATTTTTGATACAAAATTGAAAGAGGGTGTCCATATTGCAGGTGACTATCTATAACTAAAGGTGTTAATCTTCATGTCTTTTTCATAGTTATGCGTTAAGTGTTATTTTATTACCGTAATCAGAGATCGGCATTATAGTGGTATTAACGAGTATCTTTAAAAAGATTATAACGCATTTAAATGTTTCAAACTTGGAAAAGTAACGTTTTAATACTAAACTAGCTTCTTTTCCCTATCATAATATCAAACTAAATTATTTTCCTATTCATATAGAACATTTGTGTGTGTTATTTTCATAATGCATTTATTCTGAAGTAAACATAAAATACAATAAAATATTTCCTTTAATATATAAACAAAAAAGTACAGTATGTTTTTTTATATATTTCTGTTATCTATATATTTGAATAGGTACCTTACATGTTTAGTAGACGAGTAGAGTAGACATAACAGAAACACTAGACCTACTAAGTAAAATACTTGAAGTAGTCTACTAAATTAATAGAATTATTTATACTTCCAGCAAAATATTAGTTACTAGCTGTAACCCGCGGGCTTTGCTCCGTTTAACTTCTTAATTTTCAAGATTATCTCGTTCGCATGGCTCAATCACGTCCTGGTTGAAGTTTGTTCGCTACGCTCACTCACCTTTAGGATGGAGCTCGTTCGCTACGCTCACTCACCTTTAGGTTGGAGCTCGTTCGCTATGCTAACTCGCCTCCAGGTTGAAGTTCGTTCGCTACGCTCACTCACCTTTTGGTTGCAAATTAGCTGTTGTCATAAATGTAAAAGCAATAATAGTGCTGCACCCTGTTGGTAATCCTTGTAACTTTAATGCTATTGAACATCATAGAACAGAACCAACTTATTTAATTGAAACAGCTGTTAAGATTCAATAATTCCATTTCTCATAAGGTTAACATGGGAAACTCCAGAGCCACTGGGGCGGAGCCCGAAAGGATTTTTGAAATAATAATATGCCTATATGTTAATCGGGGGGGATGGGGAGCGAGCTGGCGTAGTGGCTAGAGCGCGGGACTTCGGTCCGTGAGGTCCCGGGTTCGATCCCCGCCAAGTCACCAATGGATTTTATCCAAGTGATAATGCCGCAACCCCTAGGTCTAGCCTGAAGTAATGTGAAAAACAATCCCAGGCTCGTGCCTAGCGTCCTAGGACAAAAAAAAAAATATGTTAATCGGGAATGTGAGCTATCATCATGCCA